GATGAGCAGACAAAGAAATTGATAAATCAAATAAATTCATTGGTAAGAGAGCATTGCCTAAYGACACAAATAGTGGTTGTGCAACAGGCCAGTCATCCATACCATAAGTTTTCTCTATGATGTAACCAACTACAAATAAATGTTGGCCTTGTTTATTATTGTAGAAAACAGACTTAGAGAAACAGAAAGATGAGAATGCCAGACTTGTTCAAACACACAAACAAGAATTGGAGGTAAGAAGGTGTATATAACATTCATTATAAAATAACTTGTATAAATCTTGCTTTCKGATTGGTTGAGACATTGTGCTTTATGAGAGCACACAGCAGGCACTTGCATACTTTGTATTTTGTCAATTGTATCCAAAATAAGGGCTATTCTGATTTGTATTGTCACAAAGGAATTAACTCTCTTGCTGTGCTGTGTTAAGTCATAAAGAACGTTGCAGAACAAGAGAGAAGTGTTRAAAAGCACTCCGCTAATCATCATCCATCTCCAAATACTTCTCTCTTGTCTGCCATTCTCAAGGTTCTTTATGTATGCACACGACAGAATAACACAAGTTAATACAGTGGAACCCCTCTATTCCGAACCCTCAATAAACCAGAATCCTCTCAAAACCAGGCATTGGTTGTGGTCCCAAAGTTTTTCACATACATCTTTTGTAAAATTAACCTCGATAAACTGGAATCCCTGTTGGTACTCTGGAAACCGGACAATAATCAAAGTCCCAAGCATCCAACAAACAAAAGAATTTAACTCCCTTTTATTAAAATTTTCATGATTTTTGTATCAGGTTTTAAATAATATTAAATAATAGTGGCGTTTCTATAACTTAAAATGTATATTTTGAATAAAATGATAGTCTTTTTGCGAAAAAGCAAAAATGAGACCTAAATATAAGGCACAGTGCAGCAGTGACAAATGAGATTTCGCTACTTCTACCAAATTCTCTCAATTAAGCTTACATTTTGATTTCACATAAGCGTTCTTTGGATATCTTTGTTAAAGAAATTAGAGCAGACTAAGAATGAGGAATCTGGTACCCTGACTAGTAGACTCAACCATCAGAAAGAACAGTTACAAAAGATTACTGAAGACTTAAACCTGACCAAGAATCAATTACAAGTTATAACACAAGATAGAGATAATGCTAAGGTAGCTGTACGTAAGATGGTGTGATTTTGATTCTCTCATATTTGTATAAATATGTTTCGAATATTTTGAGAAGGACGTTGTTTCTCCTACTTTCGGAGTTGTTTCGAGATTTTATATAGATAATATACGAACATGTTAGTCGTGGTTTATTTTGGCACAGTAAGGTGGTGGGAAATTTTGCTCTTATGTTTTTTTTTTCCTGTATGTTTTGTTTTCATAATCATAGCGTTTTTGTTCTTTCTCATTTTAGTTTTTTTGCCATTTTTTTTGTTGAATTTAGTTAATTTTTGGGGCTTGGTTTTTGTTTGACATTTATTTTGTGATATTGGTATGGGAATTCCTTCCTTTTAGTTCTGTTATTTTGCCACTGTTTTCTTGAATTTAGTTAGTTTTTGGGTTTTTATTGTTGTTTTTTATTTTGCTTGACATTTATTTTGTGATAATGATATGGGAATCCTTAGGAACTTAACAATGCACAACAAACAGAAGTTAACACCTATAAAACCRAACTGAATGAAAATAGAACATTGTTGGAAAAGTTGACAAAAGAGTTGGAAGAAACCAAGTTACAATTGCAAAACACAACACAAGACAGAGATGTCATAAAGGTAACAAACACTAAATATTTAACAAATGCAAGTATGRATCACCTATTTTCTTTCTCTATCTGTCTGTCTGGTCTGCAGCTCCTGTAAAGTCTATGACAGTCTCTGTTTTACAAATACATTATCTACTAATATTACTGACCGCACCTTCCAAGTGGATCTACCTAGTCTATGTCTAGTCTATTTTTATACGAGTTCCCTACTAATATTACTGACCGCACCTTCCAAGTGGAGCTAGCTAGTCTCTGTATAGTCTATTTTTATAGACGTTCCCTACTAATATTACTGACCACACCTTCCAAGTGGAGCTACCTAGTCTATGTATAGTCTATTTTTATAGACGTTCCCTACTAATATTACTGACCGCACCTTCCAAGTGGATCTACCTAGTCTATGTCTAGTCTATTTTTATACGAGTTCCCTACTAATATTACTGACCGCACCTTCCAAGTGGAGCTAGCTAGTCTCTGTATAGTCTATTTTTATAGGCGTTCCCTACTAATATTACTGACCACACCTTCCAAGTGGAGCTAGCTAGTCTATGTATAGTCTATTTTTATACGAGTTCCCTACTAATATTACTGACCACACCTTCCAAGTGGATCTACCTAGTCTATGTCTAGTCTATTTTTATACGAGTTCCCTACTAATATTACTGACCACACCTTCCAAGTGGATCTACCTAGTCTCTGTCTAGTCTATTTTTATACGAGTTCCCTACTAATATTACTGATTTATCATTGAAACTACCTAGAGTATGTCTAGTCTGTYTTATCATGTGTTTCTGTCAAATGAGTGTCCTAATAACTAACTACCGCACCATCTAAGTAGAGGAAAAACTAAAATTATTTTCAACTATTTRTTATGTTTCGGCGATGACTTTATAAGGAGCGGGAAACAAAGAGTCAATCTGTATTGACATCACTCCTGGCTCAACTGGAAGAGAAAAATGCAACACAAGAAAGACTATCCAGTGAATTGAACACGATGAAGTCCCGACAGCAACAGWCAGAAGAAGAAAGAGACAACCTGAAGGTATAGAGTGTTGCATGAATGATACACAAGTCTCTTGCACGTCTTCAGCTAACTTATTATGGGTCATCGCACTTCAAGTAACTTGCTCGGCTTGGCTTAGTACTTCTCTGTTCACGACGTCTCTCTCACGCCATGCACCATTCTTACTTTCAAACTGACGATTTCTCTTGTTCAACTCAGTTGCGTTGCATGGATTGTATTCACTGCACTTCAATCAGTAACTTATTTCTATTGAGCTTTGCTGGTTCTCTACCAGTAAATTAACACAGTACTCGAGGCTTTCTTCCTTTCATCCAATTCTTAATACAAGCAAGCAAGCACTTACATCAACTTTGATATAGCATGGAATTTTGCACTACAATTCATACCTCTCTCAACTTGATAGTTTGTGGTGGGTTCTCCAGCAGATTTACAAAAAAGCTTTCTTAATTTTTTTCTGGTAAGTTACATTTATACTCGAGCAAGTACTTCCTTCTTTGCACTTTCAAACTCTACTGAGCATGGAATACTGCATTTCAAGTACCTAACTATTCACTGGACTTAATAGTTCGTGTGTGGGTTCTCCACCATGAAGACTAACACAACAGCTAAGATCTCTTGTTTTCAACTAAGCTCTAAAAGTCGTACGCAAGCATGAACGTCCTCCTTTGCACCTCCAATTCAACTAAGCATGGAATGATGCGTTTCAAGACTTAATAGTTCGTGTGTGGGTTCTCCACCATAAAGTTCTATTGTTTTCAACTACGTTCTAAAAGACATACGCAAGCAGGTACGTCCTTCTTTGCACCTCCAATTCTACTAAGCATGGAATGAGGAGTTTCAAGTAACCGTTAAGTAACCGTTTTAAGACTAATAGTTTGTGTGGAAATTCTCCACCATGAAGTTCTATTGTTTTCAACTAAGTTCTAATTGACTTACGCAAGCATGTAATTCCTTATTTGCACCTTCAACTCTGTGTAGCATGGACACGTGCACTTAACAACCCACTCAACTTAGTTGTGTGTGACTGATTCTCCACCAGAATAGACGACAGGGTGATAATAATAACCCAAAAATGAGACTCGCGTAACGAAAGCAAGAGCCTACTTATCACTCTTACTGTGAAATTCTCAATTTTACGATACTCCAATGACTCAACTTGATACTTTGTGCTCGTTCTCCATCAATTGGAACTSATGAAATGTTTACAAACGTGTTTCGACACAACATTATATTGGACATGTCGGCGGTATTTTCTTAAAAACGAAATCATTAGGTCAATCTTGTTTTTATACCGCCAACATGGCCGCCTTCTCTTTATCATTTGATTATCGAGTCATTGCCGACCGATAGTATTTCTCGTTAAGGGTCACTTTGTTTTATTGAACTGTCATCACATAGGAGAACARCAATACCAAACAAACCGAGATAAAGACCCTTAAAAGTGAACTCGACGAAAGTAGAACGTTATTGGACACCATGACTAAACAGTTGGAAGAAGAAAAGAAGCAAATGAAAAATACCGTACAAGAAAGGGACATTATGAAGGTACAATATCTGCATGCAGGGTTTGTTTTACTTGCACAGTAAGTGGAGAGAATCCGAAACGAACGTCTGACATCTTATACTCGACTTTCAGCACGAGGATACTCGACTATGTTTCACAAAGAGCAATAGTTCTTGGACTAGCTCAGCACGTAAACCTGTAAAGAGAGGATTAAATGTGTCTAATTTATCGTACGTCCTAATTATTTCATTTTAGTTCCCTGATGTTTGTTGGTCACCAAAATTACTACTTTCTTTATTTTTCTGGCTTAGTTTTTAAAAAGAGCGCCTTTGTCACTTACTGTTTAGACTTTAAGGTACAAAGTACTAACCATCAACCATGTAATAATACGTGATTTCACTTTAGTAAATATCCTTACTAGCCTTCTGTACTATTATGGTGTTCTGTAATCTTTCTTTTTGAGCTTTCAAATTAAATACTAATAGTTCTATGATTTACCTAACCTATGCAGACGACATTAGGGAAACGTTGCGTGACGACGTGACGACCCTATTTTGAGCTCTCAAAATGAATACTAATAGTTCTATGATTTACCTAACCTATGCAGACGACATTAGGGAAACGTTGCGTGACGACGTGACGACCCTACGAACGTTAGCATAGGAGCCTATTRTTTACCTAGCCCCAAATAACCATTTCGTATTCGAGATGAGTAATGATTTGTTAAACTATATTAATGTATGCGGTTTACCGAAACTCACAGTTAATTCGGTAATATCTCATAAATTGTACCGTATTTTGCAAAGTGGCCATAGGGAGAGAGAGGGAGGAGGGGAGAAGAATGAGGAGAGAGAGGAGGAGGGGGGAGAGGTTGCTTTGGGGGTTGCTGACGGATGGGAAGATGGTTCCCATCTCCTCCCCTCCCCACCGCCACTCCCCAACAGCGCACTCATTTGGCTGCCATGCGAACGATAATATGAAGTAACGGCTCTTAATTTTACCACAAAAACTTAATGTGGAGTTACACGAGACGATTTTAAGCGCAGCGTTGTTGTGTTAAAAGTTGGCCTCATGTATCATATTGAGCGCATCACGATTTTTGTGTTGAATAAATACTGCCCCGCATTGCCGTTTTGATCTTATGATTATTTTGACTTACAGGAGAAATGCTCTCAATACGAGACTGAAATCCAAGCAAAGCAAAATGAAATATCCCAAGTCACTTCAAAGCTTGATGCTGCAGTTTCGGAGAAGAGCCTGTTGACTAGTGCCCAGGGCGACACGGAAAAGAAAATATCTGAAGTAATAGAAAAATATGAGAAGCTGAACTCTGATTACCAAGCTGTTCTACAGGAGAAAAATGACAAGACGAAAGTAAGTGAGCGTTGATTTTCACCAAATATTCTCTTAACATGAGGTAACTACTTTATCTCTTACTTTCCTTTTAGTTTTTTAAATTATTTTTTTCTCGCCTCTTTTTTCTTATACTTTTTTTTCTCTTTCCCTGCAGAAGCTTTTYCCCATTTTCCTCCCCTCCACAGAGCCTGCAACACAGGCTGTATTTCCTCTGTATTTTCTATTCTTTCCTTTACCTTTCCTTTTTTAGTATCTTTTCCTTCGTTTCTTTTCTTTTTCGATTTTAAATGAAAATTCGGTAAAACGATCATTCAATCTTGTTTGTCAGATGTGTGAAGAAAACGAACACCAAGTGAAAACATTAAACCAGGAGAAAGAAGCGATCCTTCAAGAAAAGCAGAACACTCTAAGTAAACTAGATGAACTGCAGGCACAGTACAGTGCATTAAAGAAAGAGGTAATCTAGAAGACCTAGAGTAGGCAGTAGGGAAAACGTCCTCGATTTCTTCGCGCAAACCATCATAGACTCTTCCACAGTCTCTCGCTCGTCCGTTCCGTCTCCACGCTTAGAGACTGTAACGGTACAATGACCGAAAGGACTTATGGGTCCCGAAAACTTGGACCCAGCGTGCTTTGGGAACCAAAATACTCGTCCACAGTCTCTCTCGTTTCAATATTTTCAAGATGGCGGCGAAAAAGAGAGAGACTGTGGACGAGTATTTTGGTTCCCAAAGCACGCTGAGTCCAAGTTTTCGGGACCCATAAGTCCTTTCGGTCATTGTACCGTTACAGTCTCTAAGCGTGGAGACGGAACGGACGAGCGAGAGACTGTGGAAGAGTCTAAAACCATCATAGAGTACCGAAGTGTGACGTCATCTAATTTCATATTTTGCAATTCAAATTTGAAATGTTTATATTTCTGCCAACTTTAAGGCTGTTACGAGCTCCAGAAATGGAAATATTGGGTATTTAAGCTCCAAAAAGCTCTACACATTTTATTTTATTTTATTTTGGACTGAATCCAATCACTCTAGATCCAGTCTCAAATGAGAGAAAATGTATGGGGATATTTTGGTATTAAATTACCTACATGTATATCTCAGCCATTTTTCGCTCTATCGGTATGAAATTTCACACTATGTTATACTTTTACATGCTATTTCTGATAGTGTCACCAAAATCTTAAATGTCTTTAAAAACGATTTTTAGACGTCATCACTTCGGTACTCTATTTCCTCGGGCGCTAGCCTTCCTTGTTCTGTGGACACCCTAATCTAGAGCAAGCAAACCTATATCTCTCGTAGACCCAGTATACAATGGAAAGGAGTCCTTTAAGGCCTCAGTTTCCTCTCATTTTTCCCTGTGACCTCAAGGCTATCGATTGTTGCAATCATTCAAAAGAGAGGCAAAACACAAAGACGTGGCGGCCATGTTGTTAAATACCACAGACATCGCCGCCATGACCTAAAACGTGCAGAAGAAGAATTCTTTACCCTTCGTGGGTCTCCGAGGAAGATTTTAAAACTTGAAGAAAGCGGCAAATGTAATTCCTCGCAGACGCAGCGCGATTAGGTGAGGGGTCCAATTTTCTGTGGGAACAAAAGATTAATCAATGGTAATTTGTTCTTACAGATGGATACTTTAAAGACCCATTCCACACAAAAAGAGGAAGAACTACTGCTCCTGAAATCATCAGCGTCCGATAAAGTGTCTGAATCTACAGAGCTACAGTCTCAATTGTAAGTATATCTTAGTCTGGACTGAAGTGGTTTTTCTAGAAGCTGATAATTTACGGTGCAAAATTTGAGCGGGTTGAAAAAATTATGGTACTGACTCAGAGTGGTTTTTGAACGACTAGTGGGAAATTCGTAGCCATTTCAATGCTACGGCATSTCGTACCATGTACTTGGTATAAGCCAGTTCCAAACGTTTCCCACTTATACGAAAGCCATTCTTATGGGGAGCCATTTCAATGTTACGGCATGTCGTACCGTGTACTTGGTATAAGCCAGTACCAAACGATTCCCACTTATACGAAAGCCATTCTTATGGGAAGCCATTTCAATGTTACGGCATGTCGTAACGTGTACTTGGTATAAGCCAGTACCAAACGTTTCCCACTTATACGAAAGCCATTCTTATGGGAAGCCATTTCAATGTTATGGCATGTCGTAACGTGTACTTGGTATAAGCCAGTACCAAACGTTTCCCACTTATACGAAAGCCATTCTTATGGGAAGCCATTTCAATGTTACGGCATGTCGTAACGTGTAGGGTATGTGCTGTAGGTCAGTACCGTTTGAGCAGATAGCTGCACATTCCAATGTTTCAGTATAAGATTACCGGTGGATAATCAAGGATTTTCTTGAGAACCATCGAAGAATCAGTTCTATCGGTACGTTCAGGCTTGACACTGATATGATTATTGTTATGATTACAGGGATCAAGTCAAGTCAGAGCGAGATCAGTTCAAGAGGAAGGTAGTTGTTCTTGAAGAACAGAGTAACTTACTACAAGAACAAATCAAGTATCTAGGAAATGAAAAGACTGCGATAGAAAGTCAGAAGGATGAGGTAAGTGACTGGTGTTCAGACTAAAGACATGGGCTGTGACGACCTTTATAAAAGTTCTATCTGATTGGATGAAGGCACGTGCTATAATAGATTTTTAATTTGATGACGACACTAGATTTACGATTTCTCGGTCATTTCTGATTGGTTGGGGCACGTGCTCAGTTCATTAGAGCACAGAACACACGCATGCACTTTCTATTTCTACATGAGTCTGGGAAAGTTTTGAACTTGACAGACACCCTAGTTTAGTTTACAGCTTCTCGTTTCTGATTGGTTGGGGCACGTGCTCAATTTATTAGAGCACAGAGCACACGCATGCATTTTCTATTTCTACGTGAGTCTGAGAAAGTTTTGAACTTAACAGAGACCCTAGTTTAATTTACAGTTTCTCATTTCTGATTGGTACGGGGCGCGTGCTTTATGAGAACCCATAGCATGTACATGTGCTCATAAAGACCCTAAATTTACAATTTCTCTTCAGTCAATAAGTTTGGAAACCGAAACGTCTGCGGCTTACATACCTTTCTCTGCAAGGGGGGAGGGGGGCGAGAGGACGACAACCACCAATCAACGCAGGCTGCTATTCGTTGGGATTTCAAGTATTCACGCTAGCAGGACGTCATATAACTTGGCATTTTAATTGTAGATTAATGTCAAGGTTATTTTGTTACAGATGGTTGATGCCCTTGCAAAAGCTCAGGACGAGATCATATCCCTTAACGCACGAGTACAAGAAAGGTATTTGGCCGTAACCAAGCCACTACTCAATTAAATATATTTTTATTTTTAGAAGGCTGACGCTAGGGTTATTCTCTTGAGATAACTGCCACTTTTCTTTTAATAATAGACCTCCTCAGCTCTGACGTAATGTTGTCCCATTTCAGACCACGTGTCATTCCCTAGAGTATCATTTCTTTGTTTAAGGTTTGTGCTTGGTTGTACATGAGAAGACACATGAATATTGATACAACTCAAACAAAGAATATTATTCTCAAGGGAATGACACGTGGTCTGAAATGGGACAACGTTACGTCAGAGCTGAGGAGGTCTATYGTAATATTATATAAGACAATGTGACGTTAGCCATTCCGAGGTTAAAGAAAGAACTGGGTCGAGTTGGCACTGCAGTGTATTGTGGTAGTGTTTTAGGTAACGTATTTCCAAGATGGCGTCTATTTTATCTCCTAAAACAGTCCCACAATGCACTGCAATGCTAACTCGACCCAGTTTTTTCCCAAACCTCGAAATGCCTAATATCTTTTGTGTTTCTGTGGACCCCCTCGTACTGACCTATTTGACCAAATTCATTCCTTGATAGGTTTTCAGTTCTAGATAACTTTCACTTTATTTTCTGTCATATTTTAGACCAGCCAGTTTGGCATCCGAGATACCAAGCCTAGGCATGGAGAATGATCTGGAAGTCACGAAACATGAGCTGAAACTGAAAGAAGAACAGCTCGCAAAATATAAACAACAGGTTTGTTTGAAATATATAAAATATTTAACTGCTACTATGGCAACATTCTCTTTAGTTGGAAGACAAGTTTGGATAGAAAAAATATTTCACGCACCTTATACTTGATGTATCTTGGGGAATCAAGGGTGACGCAGGGTACAGAGCATTCAGTGTTCTAACTGTGAGTTAGCCATGCCCTGACTTAGATCAGCCCAGAGGTTGTTTCAGGGTAACTTTGATCTGTGAGTTAGCCATGCCCTGACTTAGATCAGCCCAGAGGTTGTTTCAGGGTAACTTCGATCTTTGAGTTAGCCGTGCCTTGACCTTGATCAGATCAGAGGATGTTTCAGGGTTCGATCTGTGAGTTAGTCATGCTCTGACTTAGATCAGCCCAGAGGTTGTTTCAGTGTTCAATCTGTGAGTTAGCCATGCCCTGACTTAGATCAGCCCAGAGGTTGTTTCAGGGTAACTTCGATCTGTGAGTTAGACATGCCCTGACTTAGATCAGCCCAGAGGTTATTTCAGGGTTCGATCCATGAGTTAGCCGTGCCTGGCTTAGATAAGCCCAGAGATGCATTTGCGCATTTACCAAAAGCCACGCCCTCATAGTTATAATTTTTGGATCTTGCAGGTGCTGGACGTCAAGAAACAAATGGCAGCATCAATGGCGTCGAATAATGCTGGCGGCGATAGTCAAGGTAACCATACCAAATTGAAAAACACAAATAATAGGACGCTTGCAGGAAATAATCACATGACTGTTACTGGATGTCAAAAAAAATTACTGTCATATCCAAAACCTTTTTTCAAAATTAGATTCTTTTCTTGAGTTGTATCCATATTTATATGTCTTCTTCTTGTGCACGACAGTTAAACAAAGAAATGATACTACAGGAAATGACACGTGGTCTGAAATGGGCAAAACATTACGCTCCAGCTAAAGAGCTCTATTACTTTAGGTGGCCACTTTTAAAACCTGTATATCGCTGAACAATAGATGACTTACTATAGAAAGGTTTAGTTTAATGCTGAATGCTCTCATATTGCTTCTAGACACTGCAGATTTAGCCGTCAAACTAGTTGAAACAGAGGATCTTCTGGAGGCTACCATAGCGGAAAAAGAGAACCTTGATGCTCAGGTAAAAATGAACTACTCCTGCGTACCAGTGCTTCTCAACCGCATACGCGAAATCGTAAACGTCGTGGACGTCGATCAAAGTGTGTTTTCATGACTTTTTCGCAAAACAAAAAGCGTGTAAGGGCACGTGCCTATGGAATGTCATGGAAATGCCTTGATTGACGTCCACCAAAACCTACTTCGCCGCGACTGCAAATTGTACGATATCGCGCTTGTGATTGAGAAGCGCTCTTTAAAATAGAATAAATAAAAAAGGTTAAATATCAGAGTGCATACCATATAACCGTGAAAAAAATGTACTGACAAAATTGTACAAATTAATGCAAAGGTTTGTACGTCTACGGTCTACTAAGGTCTACTGAACTTATAGTCTAATTTGTGCAATTTCTTACAAAGTTTTTTCAAGGATATATAGGACTCCCCCAACCAAGATTTTTCTCGAATTTTCTTACTTATTTAAATTTGTATTCCCCCATGAGAATAGGAACTGGACAAAAGAAAGTGTGCAAGGGAGTCTGGTAGTAGAGGTCAATGACGCCATCATGCAAACGTTTCATTGAACTTACTAATTTATGCAAATTTGTGCAACTTCTTAAGCCCCGTTTACTCTAGCGATTTTTGCGGCGATTTTTGCTGCGACTTTTTTGCGATTTTGTCCATAATAAATAATGGTAAAGAATTTACTTGTAAAGTTTTTTTCAGGATACCAAGATTTTCCTAGACGAATGTCTCTTTTGAAGGATGAGACAAAAGATTTCATATTTCCGAAAATTGCCACAAAAATCGCAGCAAAAATCGCCGCAAAAATCGCCAGTGTAAACGGGGCTTTACAAAGATATATGGTACGCACTCTAGCTTATAAACCTACTATCGCAGAGTCTAATCTAAGGGTTTACTTTTGATACAGGTGGAGTTTCTTAATTCTGTGATTGTAGACTTACAGGTAAGCAAAGATATCCTACACTTTTATTTAAAAATTTTCTGGCATAGATATCAAGGGCTAAAGAAGTTGCGAAATTTATTTAAAGAAATGAGGATTCTGGAATCTGGAAAAAAATATTCTCATAAAGAACTTCATTAAAAAATTTTTTTAAATGTATTTTAAAATAATTTATCATTAAAACTTGACTTGGCTGTCATTTTTATTTTTTATTCTTATTTTTTTTCCTATTCTTATTCTCATACTTTATTATTCTCATTTCAATCTCGTTCTTATTCTCATCCTTACTTGTCAGCGTAAAAATGAAGAAAATGAGCAGCGTATCGAGCTTCTGATRATGGGCGACACAAGACCCAACGGTCTTCTAGACTCGTAAGTAAAGTATTCACTGATTGGCTCATAGATTGCACGTGGTTCACGTGATGTAACGGTCACCAAGACGTTCGTCGTACACTGTCATTGAATATTGTCGTATAAATGTACTGAAACGTTTTCATAGTTTATCGACGTCATTCGACTTGAATTCTAAATGCTTATCCTTTATCGTAATATAGTGTTCCACCCTTGTATACAATATTTTTTTCCAAAAATGACAGTCGAAATTCAGATCACATGACATTCCCTTGAGAATTATTCTTTTATGACGAACATTTTAAAATATCTATCTACAAAGCTTTTCCCTGTTGTATCACAGCGTGGGACAAWCACAACAGAGCTAGGCTCCAAACTAGGTGAAAGCCCAAAGATCGAATTAGAATTAAATATTTCCATATGAAAGAATCAACTCCCTAGAGTGGCATCAACCATTAAACAAAGAATTAATACTCTAGGGAATGACACGTGGTCTGAAATGAGGTGAACGTTACATTATCAGTTTCCCAATAATTTTTTTTTAACAGCTGATTTAAATCCCGCAATAATGTTATATTATGTACTTCAGTTGTTTGCTGATAATAAACATTCTTTATTTAGCCCTGAGCTTGACGAAGCTCCGATCCCTCGATCAAATATTCGATTATTTTGCGACATCTGTGACGTATTTGATGAACATGACACCGATGATTGCCCGGCCCAGGCCTCCGAAGCACCCGATGTAGGCTCGATGCACCATGGTAGCAGGACTGAGCCGAGACCTTACTGTACGACTTGCGAAGGTAAATTGTATTAATACACTGGACTACTGTTGYGAACATTCAATCAATCATTTTTTATTTCATGTTGTGATACGGGGAACCGCTGCCAAGCCCCTCCAGTCAGAGTAGTATTCTTATATAGAGGTTGTGCACCATCACGTGACGGCAGCCATGTTAGATGGCAAAAACAATACAATCGTTCTAAATAAGAAAGAATTCAATTCTCCAGAGCAAAGGAATTCTATTGTTCTGCCATCTAACCACAGGCAGTCCAAGCTCTATTATGGGTGCCGGTACGTGGTGGCGCAAAACCTCTATGATTGCAGGTTACGGCACCATGTTGCTGCCATTAGCGTCCATTGTTAACCACACAAAGATAACCACCATATTTTTGAGTCTATTAACTGTCTTGGGAAAGCTTGCCCCCATCAATACGACACACGCCACACTCACTACCACTACATTTAATCAGTTCTAAGCACACGACCCTCAACTCACTTTTTTTTCTTTTTAGTTTTTGGGCACTGGACTGAAGATTGCGATGATGAAGTGGTAAGAAACAAAAAAAAAACTCCATTATTTTAACCACATCATTTTGTTCAGCTCTCTTATTATAGTTTTCCTCGTGTCTCGTTGTACGACTGCAATCCTTACGGTTTCTTCTCCTTACTTTGTGTTCTCACCCCTCACCCCAAAGTTTTGTTCTCTCCTTATTATTAGCTATTCCGAGGTTGAGGAAAAAACTGGGTCGAGTTGTCATTGGCGTACATTTTGGGGCGGTTTTAGGGGATTAATATGGGGCCATCTTGGAAATATGTCTCCTAAAACAGCCCCACAATGCACTGCCAGGACCACTCAACCCAGGAAAGTGCTGAAGGATTCTGGGTACGAGATTGGCCATTCCGAGGTTGAGGGGAAAACTTGGTCGAGTTGTCATTGCAGTGCATTTTGGGGCTGTTTAAGGGGACATATTTTCAAGATGGCGGCATATTGAGTCCTCCAGCGCTTTCCTGGGTCAGCACATGGCGACAGCCCGTTGACCAAAAAGCCGAAAGACTCTGGACTCGAGATTGCGGAATGGCTAATATCACATCTTTCATTTCATTTTCTTTCGTTCCCAGACTTTCTAAACCTGAACTTTGTCGCAAGGATGGAACTAAAAGATAGAAAAAATATTATATCCACGATATTCTATCGCAGCTAAGTACCTGAAAGGCACAAGAAAAGAGATAAAATCTTGCTAATTATTACATTTCTCTTCTGGCTTCCATTTCTTTGCTCTTTAACGATGAATTCCAAATAAGTTTGATAGAGTAGGTACCCCTTGTAATGAAGTATAAAACCCTAATCCTATTTATCGCTGCTTGCATATAACTCTCGTGCATCCAAGCAGTTAAAAACAACGAAATATCTCGAAAAAATGGGGATCTCAAAAAATTCTCGTCTATACCTTGACTAGGTAACATAGAAGCGTTTTGCAATTATCTCTTCTGGCTTTTTGGGGACCCTGGGTAGATCTTAGCAGAAGAGAGATCTTGCAAAGAGGGTACTTACATTTGTCCCTAGTCTCTCCCATCTCTCGTTTTACATAGGAATCCTTATGTATCCCCCTTGTTATACCCTGCACTATAGATAAGGCCAAGAGAACTTATAAACCAACCCTTTGCTTTGTGCATGTCAGCTGACCTCGCCATCACCAAAGAAAATGTTCGAAYAAGTGTAAAGAAATGGGAGCCAGTGCAAGAATGAACTAAAATRATAGAGCTGTTTTAAGAATAGATAGATATATTATATTATATTGGTAATCTGTTAACAGAACTGAGAACTTATTACGTTACAGATGATAAGATAAACTATTCGTTTACCATTCACTCAGCCTCCAGCAGACGTTCTTAGGGTCGTCACGCAACWTGAGGAGAAAAACGTTACGTGACGACGTGACGAGAATAAGAATGTCTGCGAAGGACATATATTCTCTGTTGGGATCCCTGTGTTAAATTATATGTCAGCGAACTAGAAAAAATAGCCAAGGAGATGCCATAATAACTGATCGGACCTTGGCCTTTGGTCAGAGTCTGGACGACACCAGTAGTTCGGAAGACTGAAGTAGATATTATCATTATTAGTGCCTGGRGAAAGGGTAAAATTCAGAATTGAAATGATTTCGCTTGACTGTGAAAGGCTTACGATCATGCTCATGCCTTGCTCGATTTTCTCGATTTCAATGACCAGTAATCTTACGCTCTGTAAGTGGCTAATTGAATGTCTTTAATCCCTTACCGTGATCGTGCCGCCGTCTGATGTGTTTTTCACAGTCTCGCGACATCTGCTCTCATTCCAAAAAATATCGCTAATTTTAATGGAATGTCGGATATTGATACTGTGAGATTGATTCTATCCAGTACCGAGTCCAATCCGTGCCTTAAAAGTTCCCGCTAGACGGGACATCCTACTATCGCACATCTGATTGCATGCCTTCCGAAAGTCTAGCGAAAGTAAAAAACAAACAGTGCTCATGGGGAAAGGATACATAGATGTTTTTTCATTTTATGTCAAAAATACAGCACAATATTCTTTCCTTCTCGCAATAACTTTAGGATGCAAACTTATATCAGCTACTAATTTATAAAAATTCAGTTTTCAGTTGTTCGGGTATGCACACAGGTAGCCCAAGCTATGTATGAGTGTGCTTAAAAGAGCTGTGTGAAGTATACAAAGAAAATGTATTAAAAATAGATAGATTAAATGGATCACATTTGAATTACACCTACCTGTCCTTCGTGTTTTATTTTCATCATTGGGAAGGTTTGTAATAGTAGTAGTATTTACTTCGCTTAAAAGGTATGAGAGAGAAGGTGAATAAAATTTGAAAGTCCTGAACTCGCTTAAAATTGATTAGGAAGACTACAGACCTTCCCCAATGATAAAATAAAACAAAGAACAGTTAGGTTAATTCAAAGGTCATTAATTCGATTTAATAGGACGTTTGCATGATGGTGTCACTGACCTCTACTACCAGACTCCCCTGCACACTTTCTTTTATTCAGTTAATTAGCACCAATTGTCTTACTATTCTCATAGGGAAATACAAATTTGAATAAGAAAGAAAATTCGCGAAGCATTATGGTAGTGGGAGTCAAATGACGCCATAATGCAGACGTCCTATTTTAGTCAATTTTCTTTGCAGTGCTTCGCATATCAGCCATTCTAAGCACACACACACACACACACATAGCGTGGGCTACCTGTGGTATGCTCAGCTATCCTATCTTTGACTCACTACCTTCGTTGTATTAACCTCCCTGTCTTTCATTTATGAAGTCAAGATTCTCAAGTTTACTAGCGGTTAAAAGTTGTGTAATTATTATTAAGGTTTCAAATTTTATGCTGGGAACTTTTTTGTGTGTTCTGTTAATGTGAGCTAATCCAGGTGCCGCTGGAGACCAAGTAGATGGAAGGGTATATCTTCGATTAAGTGTTTGACAGGATCTTAGTCGGCCACGGGTAAATGAAACAATTTGTATCCTGTCCTCAGAAGATACAAGAAAAAAAAACGTAAATAATGTGGTTGAACACTAGGTCCACTAGGCACCTTTTTGAAAATCGGTTTAAGATTTCTGCATGTAAAGTTGTATTCGAGACTAATTCCCGCTAAGGGATCGTGGCAGGAATTCTGGCGCAACCCTTCAGCACTTACAAACACCCCATAAACCATATACTGCATAACTTAAGTAACTTTTTATTAAGTAAGCCTGTTATTAAGGGAGTGTACTTTCATTAACATTATATATTTTTGTATGCTTGGTGCTAAGTAAATGAATAAAATGCACAAAAAATTATATTATGGCTACATTTCTGCCTTTTCCTGTCGTTTGTTTGTTTGGTAGCGCTTGAGGAGATATGTCAAACTATCGTTCAACATAGCGCTGGACTTTGTCGCGCGAATTGAGCGTCACAATCGCAACAAAAACGCGCGACAAAATCATCGTGCTGCGCAAACAAGCCTTTATTATCGCCTTTAATCGCAAGGGAATCCCCAGTTCAAACCATTCTGTATTAATTCAGCTTGTAGCGGAAACGCATTTTCTCTCTCGTATCATTTGAACCTAAAAAGGACACGCCCCGATCGCCCGAATTAACTAAGCATGATCAAGTCAATCAAAATGAAAAAAAGAAATCAGCCCAGAGACCCTTTCGCGCCTCCTCATAGCCAGTCTCCCCCGGCCAAGTCCTTCAGACGGCCGCCATCTTGTTTAGCGGAAAAGATTTTCTTTTGGTGACCTCGGCTTTTCTTCGTTGTCTGTCATGTCCGACCTTGTCGAAAGCGAAGCAGAAGAATCCCTAGATGAACTACTTTCAAGTGCTAGTGAGGAAGAGGAGGAAGAAAATGAGAACCGAAACGATGGAGACTTAAAGGATTTGATCAATGACGAAGAAGAGGAAAGTGCAGCGAGTGACGAAGAAATAAGCGAGTCTGGAAAAAGCAACGACAATGAAGAAGAAGACGACGACGACTCTGATAAACGGCACGGAAGAAAAAGAGGAAATAGAGGTAATATCATTTTTGTCAAAAGCAGTTCTTAAGAATATTTGATTGCGTTTGAATAATCCCTAAATGTTTTGAATTCGATTGTTTTTGCACGTGTACGTTTGATTATAAAGATGCGGAATTGGACGAAGAAGACTTGGATTTGATACAGGAAAACTTGGGAATACGTCTACCAAAGGTAAAACAAACACAAGTATGAAACTTTCAAGGTCTTTTATCCGACATTTGAGGTTGATTTAGCACACGATTGAATTTATTTTAGCCATTAGTGTACGATTATTTCGAGGATAACATTGACTGTACTAAGGATGTACCCTTTCTTGTTCTTCAAACTAAACACAGGCTAAAACTCAGTGATTTATATATACAATTCAAAGCGAAGTCATTTCGCTTTAACACAATCAACTGATAATCTTGAATCTTGACATGTTTCTGCCATTTGTTCTTTGATTTCATTTTAGCTTTGTGAACACTGATTTATAAACGACTAGATAGGACCTCTTTTTATTCACGTCATGTATCTAAGTTTAGTGTGTTGGGGATTATTAGTTTAAGCTGGGGGGAGGGGGATGGGTACAACTATAGAATACCCCACAAGGAAAAGTATTATAGTGGGCTGCATACGCGCCTACGCATTCGTTGTAGGAATAAACAATCGAGTACCTTGGGGTTAGGTTTAAGGCTTAAGTTTGGGGAAGGCTTTTTAGGAATAAACAATCAAATACCTTGGAATTAGGCTTAGGGTTAGGATTGGGGAAGGCTTTGGTGGGGTATTCTATAGTTATTCTGGGGGATATAAGCTTATTGGCATTTTTTTTTTTTTTGCCTATCTTTGGATTCAAATAAAGGTTATGGATTTACTGCGGTTTTCTACGTTCTGAGAACTCAGACATTTCAAAGGCTTGTTGTGAATTTATTCTCCTGGGAATAAACATAGTGTCGTGCGATCAAGGTCCAACAATAGTTTCTTATATTTATACATACATGGTTATACAGTTTAGTGACTGGAATGGATGTTTATTTATTTGTCCCTAGAAAAAGTTCCATCGTCTGAAGAAAGTCAAAGTGCTTGACAGCTCTGATGAAGATGATGAAGGCGAAGGAGTAGAGTCTGTACAAGAAAGGGAGACTATAGCTAATGAGTTGTTTAAAGGTGGTGACGATGAACGAGAAATAAGTCGTGTAAGTGCTTAATGTTTATTAGCTGTTCCAAGTTTGACAGGAGAAATGCGTCAAGTTGGCATTGCAATGCATTATGGGACTGTTTTAGGGGAACTATTTCCAATATGCCATCTATTTTGTCCTCTAAAACAGTCCCACTGCAGTGCCAACTTGATCAAGTTTCCCCTCAACCTCAAAATGGCTAAATGCTATCTTTATCAAGAAAGCACACGAGTTTTGTGTAGGTTTAGTAACAAAAAGTAAAGATATTCAGGGTTCCAGATAACAGGACTCTACTGCATATTAGCACTGGTTAAAGATCTTGTCGTATAACATGTAGTAAAGGAATATAAATATGTTGTTCTGTTCTAGGACTTCACAGAACCTGTGGTACCAGCTGTGGACTCTACATATGCTGATATAGATGAATCTGAATCAGAGGAAGGTATTAATTAGTAGTTGTTCTACGATGGTAGTTCCAATTAGTTTCACCTGACTATTAAATGCTGATTGAGATAACAGTCACGTCATGGAAATCAATCAAATCAGCAATCAATCAAATAAACTGTTCTGTACCTTTCACTGTGTAGCATTCTGACAACGCATAGCAATAAAAGCAGTGGTAGCCCATGTGGCACATACTTGATAGATTGTAACTTATGATATTTTGTTGTTTTGCTCTAGATGAATTTGATAATTTTATTGTTGATGATGATGGAAAACCAATTAAACATCACCATCCGAAAATAAAGAGAGTAATGATAGATGGAGAACATGACTCGTAAGTAAATATATTATACTAGTGATTGTATGAGGTAGGGCTTTAAAAAAACAGCTGCAGTCAGTTGCGGCATGGTCATGATGACCAGCCAAATGAGTTTCTGGCTCAACGTTACTGGTCGAAATGATCGGCAAGGCAAAGATTTGACCAGACAAGTTCCAATTCTGGCCAGACATTGTCTGATTGCCAGCTGTTATTTTAAGCACTGAAGCAGTGAGCCTTTGTAGTGAATATTGAGTCCTCCTGCCTCTCACCAATGCAACCCCAGTTTGAGTCCCAACGAGCTCAACGTTGTATGTGAGTAGAGTTGTTTGTTGGTTCTCTCCTGTGCTTCGAGGGTTTTTTTCCCTCCCTCAACTTCTAAATTCCAATTGGAATCCAGTGGAAGAAGAGCGACTCTGTGGAATCCACTGTTAATCCCATCATCATTATCATTATTATTACGAACAGATAATGTACATGATGGGTTTTTCAATTCATAATAATAATTAAGAAGAAAATAGTAAAAATATCTGTTGTATTTTAGAGCCTTACAAGAAGCACAAGACACATTTGGATTGGACTTTGATTTTGATGAATTTGAGAAGTTTGGACAAGAAGACTATGATGATGAGGAGGATTATGAAGATGAAGAAGAAGAAGCCCGAATAGGCTTGAGAAAAGCCAAGCGCAAAGCAGCCAAGAAATCTATTTTTGAGGTCTGTACTTGTTAATGTGCTTTGAGGAATGAACCCCTTGCATGTGACTTCAAAGCAGCTCAAATTGTGGGATAAAACAGAATTTCAATCTCCTGAGAATTGGAAATTAATTGTAATGTCCTCCAAATTGAGCTGCATTCSGACGTGCTGCAAGGGGTCCATAGCCCTAATCAGTCTTGGTGCAGTGTTTACCCATTTCAGACCACGTGTCATTCCCTAGAGTATCATTTCTTTATTTAACCATTGCACACGAGAAGACACATGAATATGGATAAAACTACAACTACGAATCTTATTTTCAAAGGAATAACACGTGGTATGACATGAGTAAACACACAACATGACGAATTAGGTTAATTGTCTCAATTCTTTACATATTCATAATTTAAGTGGTTACATTATTGCATTGTAAGATTGTTTCGTTTATTTATTTTTTTGCTTCATTCCTCGATACAGCGGTCTGTTAGTGCTGAGAGGCGTCAACATTACATATTAACTTTCTTTACATCTACATATTTTGATCGAAATATGTGTTTATAAGTGTTATCCGTGCCGAGTTTGATGAAAGAACTCCAGGTTGAGTTGACATTGCAGTGCATTGTGGACTGAGTTACGTTTCCGAGATGATGTCTATTTCATCCTCAAAAACATGCAGACCTACAGGTGTACAGCACATTGCGGAGATGCCAACTTGACACAGTTGTTTCATCAACCTTAGAACTGGGATTTCATAGTACAGTATTCCAGAATTCTTAATAATACTTCTGGGTTTAGGGCAAATTGACAGGAATCATCATTAGCAGATAATGGATCATTTTTGCCTGAATATAAATTTGTTCTTATTTTTGTCAGGTGTTTGAGCCAAGTGAGTTGGAGAAGGGTATGTTAACGAGTAGAGATACAGAAATCAAAACCTCTGACATTCCTGAGAGATTCCAGGTAATATTAATGGGCAAATAGTCTCATTTAGATTAAAGTTTGACTAACCCCTGCTGCAATAGACTCTTTCCGAGTTCCAAATTACCACTGTGCAGTAGCGTAGCGAGGGGGGGGCACATGCCCCCCCAAAATTTTGAAAAAAAAAATTTTTGAAAAAAGAATAACAAAAAAAAAACCATATTAAACCAAAACGAAAGAGGAAAATAAATTATTACAACCTACGAAAGTGCGAATTTATACGAAGTTATCCGGACGGGCTACCTGTGCACTGCGAACCCRGTCAGAGCCTGGAATCTGCACGTGGGAATTTGAAATTTTTTTTCATTTTGGATCAGTGCCCCCCCAGCTCCTAGGTCCTCGCTACGCCCCTGCCACTATGTTTCTTGATTACAGACTCATTTACTCAGGCTAAGCCTCGATTTTGTGAAGAATATTCACGTTTTCCAGTCAAGGTCCGTCAAGTTTCAAAGTGTTCATATTGTTGAACTTGTGCATTCTTCACTTTACCATTGGTATTTGCGAGTAATTACAGTAGACACTGATTTGAGGCTTAGCCTGAGCAAATGAGTCTGTAATCAAGAAACACAGGGGTAATTTGGAACTCGGAAAGGGTCTATTGTGGAGTTCCAGAAAATATCCATACCCCACCCATGGAGGAAATTGGCAATTCTGTAGGGGAGGGGGGAGAGGGGGGAACAAAATTACCAAGTTTGTATGGAAGCTAGAAAATTGCCTGAAGTTTATCATCATCATGTTTATTATTCTTTCTTTCACACAGCTGCGAGATGTGCCAGTCAAGCCAGCAGAAGACAGTGAGCTTGAAGAAGAAGCAGAATGGATCTACAAGTATGCATTTCTYGAACAAACCATCTCACAGCAGAATGTTGATGAAAAAGGCATACAAACTGGTGAAGCCAAAGCTACTAAACCTCACTCTGCTATTGGTAAAATACAAGAGGCTCTTAACCTCATGAGAAATCAGTTATTTGAGGTGAGATACATTACTAAATCGAGTTAAGGTGACTGCCTACTTTTGGAAATTGATTTAAGCTTTTTTTAAAACTTCGATTTTCCGAATTGAAATTTAATGCTGATTCCAAATCTGGAAAGGAAAATAGGGTGTCCCRAGCTCGTTTTCGAGATAATCAACATTTAATGGGAGCCTACACAAGAGCTTTCGGAGTAAAACTTGCGCCACCGGAAGTGATTAGAAAAAAATTAAGATTCATAAGATAAGAGTTATTTGCAGACTATATGATTGCACGAACGAAGGCTAGTCAATCCTTCTACAATAATACATGGTTATTTTTTCGACAAAAAGACAGAGAGATACATTGATTTGTCATATTTTGTAGTTTTGGTGCTCTTAAAAAATCACATAAAGTCGAACAAAAATCCCTACAAAATCTATTTTTTCACGTGTTCCTGATTTAAACTTTTCCTAAAATGTTGATATAACCTAGATTTTTAGGAGTTTTTTCAAATGAGCTATCAAAAAATATAGAGTCCGGTGCAAAATTTGAGGGTTTTGCCCTGTTGAAGCTCAAAACGCGTATGTTTCTTCAATAAAATCTTGTAGATTTTTCAGCGGTTTTTGAGCGCGCGCTCATCGTGGGCTCAATTCGAACGTTCAAAAGTAGGCAGGCACCTTAAATCAGAACCTATTGATAATTTTGATAATGATGATTTTGTATGTCATAAAGGTGCCATTCATAGCCAATTACAGAAAGGAGTATGTGGAGCCTGAGTTGAATGTCGATGATCTCTGGAAAATATGGGAATGGGATGAAAAGGTCAGTAAATAAATATGAATTAGAAGAGATAACTAGCTAAAAACTAGCGTGAGCTGTGTCAGTACTGATAAAAAAGTAAATTATACACCGTGAAAAGATGAAAAAGCTTACTGATGTTTCGGATGGTAGTCCTTCGTCGGATTAAAAGAGCAAATATGAATTAGGAAGGAAAATATTAGTATAAAAGAAATGATTCAGAATTTTTTACTTTGACAAACATACCACTATTGGCCTAGATTTGGAATTATTGAGTTAGGCGGTCGAGGAATGACTTTGTCAAGTTGATACTCTTGCGTATCAACCTGACTCTTAGATGACATTGTTATTGGAGAAATCAAACAAACTCTATTCAAATTCATTAGAGGAACTTACTGCACTGTACTGTAAAGAATGTTATGTGTGACTCAAGATGCCAATGTTCTTTTAAATTAATGTTTTTTATGTTTAACAGTGGATTCAACTTCGTACAAGAAAGGATAACCTTCATCGACTGTTTGAACAAATCCAAGAATATCAGTTTGGAAAAGTCAGGGAAAACAGTGAACTGCCGCTAGAGGAGGACACCAGAATACTGCAGCCAGAAGATATTGACAGGTAACAAGCTCAACAACTGTTAATTTTACCTAACCCTGAAACAACCTCTGGGCTGATTAAAGTCAGGGCATTGCTCTGCCACAACTCACAGATCAAGTTGGAATTTAGCATGTTACTGTAGGTTTTGTGGGAAGGGGGGGGGGGGGGGGGGGGGGTAGGGAATAGATAACCTGTAGAAAATTCCTTGAATCAAAGAAGAAATCGAACAAAATCTACTCAAATTCGAGGTACCCATACTCATTTTAGTACATAGATACAGGTCATGGTTTGAAGACAGTTTAATTTTGTTCTCAAACGTTTTATGTAGACAGTTAGTGACAGTTAGACAGTTAGTGACAGTTAGAGATACCATAAACCTCTGAAAATAGGCCCCTCTGAAATAGGCCTTCAAAAATAAGCCCCTCTAACAATAAGCCCCTCCAACAATGAGCCCCTCCATAAATGAGCCCCTCCAAAAATAAGCCCCTCCAAAAAATAAGCCCCTCCAAAAATGAGGCCCTCCAACAATAAGCCCCTCCAAAAATAAGCCTCTTATCATGTGATTTCATTGTTCTTCTATATTTTTATTCTAATACTAAAAAGGCATGTCAGGAAAATATAAGCCCAGGGTTGTTTTTTTTTTTAGGTTTATGATATTATTCCCCCATATGATTATGGCTGTTGACGTATCATTATCAATATAGGCTGGATGCTGTGCAAACAATTGACCAACTCAAAGATGTGTATAGTCACTTCATGTTGTACTACGGCAACGATATCCCTGCCATGCAGGAGGCCAACAGGAGAAAGGCTAAAGAAGAAAAGGAAGCCAGGCAAGAAGGTGAAGAAGAAGACAAAGAAGAGCAAACCAAGACAGAGGAACCTCCAAAGCTGAAGAAACCAAGAAAAAGAGATTTGTATACCATCTGTATAGAAGCAGGTTAGAGAAAATGTCAATATCATTACACATAAAATGAATTTGGGAGTAAGTATTGTTGGTGGTGCTCATGGTATACCTATTTCTGGTGCTACAATTCAGGCATCCCAGACCTCCTATATATCCTATATTTCCTATAATTTGTATAGTATCCTATAAAGAGCCTATATTTAAAGAAAACCTCCTATATTTCCTATAAATAGGACGACTGCTGAGTGATACATTTACATTTTACACTGTTTAGCATATTGGGCGTTCGGATCCCTGTTTACGCCACTGAAAAGCTATTTTAGCTCCTATAAAGTGCATATATTTTTGGGAAAAACTCCTATACTTTCCTATATTTAGAACTTGCACAGCCTATATTTCCTATCATATTTGTCTAAAAAGTGGCTGGGATGCCTGTATAATTGCTGTTGAAGCTGTTCTCACTGATGTGGTGTTGTTATCTTTCTCGTTGTTAAGATGTCACAAATTTATTCCACCATAATCATTATTTCACAGATTTGAAGAACTTTTAAAAAGGCGTGTTGTAATATAACAGGGAGTGATGTTGCAGCTGCTTTTCCATGTTGGTAGACAGCATAATTATTTTGCTATTGCTGTTGTATTTTGTCATAGAAATCTCTGACAGTGTCTGAAAATTAGATCGACTTCTTTGTCAAGTTACAAATTTAATATTTTTTCCTCATGAGCATCATCATCTTCCAATGACGTCAGCGTACTACCCACTAGGAAATAGTTCATGATAAATTTGTCAATCAGAGCCCACAGTTTAACTTAGCTATATCATAATGTCAGTTATAAAAGGGTCTAAAAATTGTATGACTTTCTACTCAACTCATAAGCATCATCATCCGTCACTCAATTTAGGTTTAGGAGGACTGGCAAGGAAGTTTGGTCTGACTCCTGACCAGTTTGGTGAAAACTTGAGGGATAACTATCAACGGCATGAAACAGAACAACACCCCATGGATCCTGGAGTAGCTGCAGAGAGCTACTTAACAAGGTATTGTTAGTACCTTATATGACAAAAAACACTGTGATGTTGGGGAAGTTGAAGGAGAATGTCAATAAGTATAGGTAATAGGAYTACATGCTGTCCAATTTGGAAATAATTGGATGAAAAAAATTCTTAGGACTGACAAAATTGGAAGAGGCTTGGCAATAAGAGGAATTTTTTGAATTCAATTATTTACGAATTGGACAGACATGTAATCCTATTGCAGATTAATTATATTATCCCAAACTATACTAGACTGATTCCATAAGTCATAGTTTTCCCTCGAAAGAATGCGAATGGAAACAATCCATTTAGAATGATAATACAATTATCATAATTATTAGCTAAGCATTGAGTACCACATCAAATGAAAGTTTTTGGTGGACAGTGATGGAAGTGGTGGGGTTTTCAATGATAGATAATGTTGAATAATGAACATGATAATGAATGATGTTGACCAAACACTAACTTGGGGACAAAATCGACAGAATTCATGACGATGCTCATCATGGTGATATTAAATCATTATCATGGTTATATTGTATTAGCCAAATGCAGACCCTCCTTCCAATTCCTTAGACAATATACTTACAGTAAGAATGTTCTGAAACCCTAGCAGGGCTTGAAATAGAAAATAAAGATGACCAGAAAGTTTTTTAGCTGGAATTTTTGAGGAGCAAGATTTTCTCTGCAATTCATTTTATTTCCAGTTGACAATTCAAAATTGTTTTTTCTGCCATAAGTAAAATGTTATTTGCATTTTGTCCATTGGCAGGCTGCTATTTCATTCCCTGCACTATAAATGCTGTGTAACATTTTGTGTTCTAAAACTAATCTAACTTCAATTGTATTTTCAGTACATTCTCAACCACTGACCAAGTAATGGAAGGTGCAAGGCATGTAGTGGCCATGCAGATTGCTAAAGATCCCCTTGTACGACAGTGTGTAAGAGAGACTTTCTATGAAAGGGCTAAGTTAACTGTTAGTCCAACAAAGAAAGGCAAAAAGGTAAGTAAGATGCACAAAGAATCGAAAGATTAATAGGAAAACGTATGAGAAAAAAATGCTAAGAAATTTTTAAAAAAATTGTAAATCAAAAGCACATTGATGGTGGTTTTTGACCACTTTCTGTAGCCAACAAACAAAGGCACTTAATAAAGTGATTGATTAATTGATTGATTGCATGATGGACATGTTGTAGAAATTAACAAATGAAAAAGTCATCTGATAGATATCATCTTAAAGCAACAATGACTTAACATGCAACTAGAAAATAAATATAATTGGCTTATGACTCTGGTATTAATCCGACTTCAGGCATAGGTCAATGTGTTCAATAATAGTTTCTAAGATTCAAATGGTTGATTCTTAGGCAATGAAAACATCTCAACAGCTGAGGGATACTTATAAATCAGAACTAAGTGATTTCTAAGTTCATATAAAGTACACTCAACTAAATTACTCGATTCTTGGACAAGAGGAGTACAATTAAATCCCAAATTTTACTCTGTAGAGTTCCAATTAAATTGCTCAATTTTTTTGAGTGTATTATAAACAAAAAATCACAATCTTCTTGTACAATTTGGAATTTATAGATACTCGTGTGTTTTGAAAGTTCTCAAATTGGACTCGCCTAAAGGCTCATCCAATTTTGAAAACTTTCAAAACATCACTCGTACCTATAAATCTGAATTGTACTTGAGATTGTGCGATTTCTAAGTTAAGACAATGCTATTTTTTTTAGGAAATAGATGAATCTCATCCCTGTTTTTCTATCAAATACTTGAAGAATAAACCTGTCAGGGATTTAAGAGGAGATCAGTTTTTAAGGTTGTCATTGGCAGAGCAGGATAGGTTGCTAACAATATCAATATCAATTGATTTTGACAACAGACAAGGGTAAGTAACGAGCGATTATGTGCCAACATCATTATTATTTCTTCCTTTCCTTTTTGTAACCTCATTTATTCATAATGTGATATGCTTTTTGTATCTTCAGTTATCAGACTTACTTTGATGAAGTAAAGCAGCTTTACCATAGAGTAAGTTGGTCTGTGAATGTGACAGCATACAATGTGTTGCTATGATACAAGACTTGTCGTAGTATTTGATGTTTTGTGATCTTATTTTGTGACATAAGGTCATGTAACATATATCAATTTCAAAAAAGGTTGTCAGAGCCATAGGCATAGGAGATAGATGATAGATCACTTCGAGATCCAGGAGAGGGGACATATTTCTAACATGGAGCCTATTTTTGTCCCCTAAAACATTCTCAAAATACTCTGCAATGCCAACTCGAGCCAGTTTTTTACTTGACATTTGAAAAAAATTGCTAATATGAATAAAAAAACTGCTAGCCTTCTTTCTTTCTGTTTTTGATAGAAATGCAGCCCTTAGAAAATATGGTTTAAAGAAGGGAATGAATTCATCATTCTTAATCTATATGTCAAGTCCATGTGATGTCTATTATATTTATGCTACTGTAAATTTACTGTTATTTTATGTTATATCAGGACTCTATTTAAACTAGCCTTGCTAAACTAGATGTGCCTGTATAAATATTGACTTAAATTTAAAAAATCGATTTCTTCTTCAGGATGAATTCAGTCTCTTGGTACAAGAGTGGAATGCTCAACGTTACCAAGCTCTCATGCGTGCTTTTAACCAGATGTTATATCCTGTACTAGAAAAAGAACTGAAGGCCAAGCTATTGCAGGAAGCCAAGGACTTTGTCATCAAGGTAGTGATTGTACTATAATCATTTTCAGTTTTATTTCTTTATTTAATAGAAAAGCACAGGCAATGTATGATGTTAAACTTCAAATTTGATTGATGCAAATTTTATTGATGCCATGAAAACCTTCAGGCTGATCAAAGTCAGGACATGAAAAATTTAGACTGAACTGGAATTTCTACAAAGCTTTTCGCTGTTGTATCGCAGTGTGGGACAATCACGAAAGAGCTAGGCTCTAAACTAAGTGAAAGCCCAAAGATCGAATTAGAATTTAGAATTTAGTTTGTTATATTTCATAGAAGGAGAAAAACAATGAGAACCTGGATAAAGACCCTCAAATCAAATAATAGACCTTTTTTGAGTTCAAAATTACTGCTGTGTTTCTCGATCACAGTCTCATTTACCGGTATTCAGGGCTAGCCTTGTATTAGTGTCTAAATATTCACAAATACCAACAGTAAAGTAAAGAATGCACAACTTCAACAATAAAAACACTTTGAAATACCACAGACCTTCACTGGAACACACAAATATTCTACACAAAATCAAGCAACAGAGAACTCGAAACTGGAGTATTGTTCACAAGTCTGTTTGTTTAACTTATCCTAGTGCTGTCAGAAACGGCTACGTTCCTGGATAGAGGTAGCACCATTCCAACCAGAGCAGCAGCATGAAGATCAAGACTATGATGACCAGATGAGTGGAGATGGCCTGCGTGTACTGGCTTGCTCCTTCCTACCAGATCCATCAGTACCAGCATTCTTTGCCATGTTAGATGGAAGCGGACAAGTATCTGATTATCTACGTCTGAAGTATCTGCTCACTAGACGCAACACCTCAAACACCAGGGAAAAGGAGATGAAGGTGAGTTAAACTTAATTTAAAGCTCTCCACACCAGGAGGCACATACTGTAAGACTATCACAATCTCAGAAGGTCTAGTGAGTAAAAACTTTAATATTAGATCTAATTCCTTTTTTAAAAAAATGAATAGTTATAGCAGATCTAAAACAATTTGAAAAATGTATTACAAATTTTCAACTCCAGAACTGTAAGTCTTTGTCAGGTACAATATGTAAGTCAGCTCAAGTTTTTCTATTATTCAAACTCTTAGCAAAAGTATTCCTCTTAGCACAATATTTTCCCATTACATTACATAAAAATTGTGTCATTCCCTAGAATATCATTTTTTGTCTAATGGTTGCACATGATAAGACACACAAGATTGATACAACTCAAACAAAAAATATATGTTATTCTCTAGGGGATGACATGTGGTCTTAAATGGCTAAATGTTCCACCAAAAAAAATTAGGTGCATTAACCATCTTGGCTTAAATTTCTTAGCAACAATATTTWAAAAAAAATTTTTTGTAACATTTCTTCTAAAATTTCATGTTTGTTAAAAAATCATAATATATCTTCAGTAGTTTATGTATCTTATGTTATAGTAGTAGTTTTACTAATATCTATATGACATCTTTGAATACCAACTCCTTTTTCAGATTAAACAAATTTCTCTACAGCGTGACATCACTTGAAAATCCTACATACTGAATTTTCTTTTTTTCTTAAAAATTAAGGAAAAAGACATGGAAACACTGAAGGAGTTTATTCTGAAGAAGAAACCAGACGTCATAGCAGTAGGGGCAATAAGCAGAGAAGCCATATCTGTCGTGGAGGACATCAAGATGTGTTTAGCTGAGCTGGAACAAGAAAACCAAATGGCTCCTATCGGCGTTGAACTGGTGGATACTGAAGTGGCTCGTATATACCAGGCATCACCAAGATCAGATGTAAGCTATACTAGTTTTGAGGAATTATTCATTCCTGCTCATAAGATAACAAATGAATATGGACACAACTCCAACAAAGAATCGTTATTTTCAAGAGTATGACACATGGTCTGAAATGGGAAAACATTACGCCCCAAACAAAGAGATCTTTGGCGTAACTTGTCATGAAAAATAGTGGTGCTTGCGTTGTATTGGTTGAGCTACAAAATAACTTAAGGGAATGGTTGTGTGAGCAGGATATTCTGAACCTTCAATGCAAAAACATTCCTTAACAAGCCAGGACATGGTTGTCTTCATTGCCTTATTTTAAAATTAGCTATATACAACATATTTAATTTTGTGAGTTGTAAATTCAATCTAAAAAAAAGAATTCAAGTAAAAATAAAGACCACAAATACATTGGTTTTGTCTCATCAACAGAATGAAGTGCGCGAGTACCCACCTGTACTGCGTAATGCCATTTCTATTGGACGGCGCATGCAAGATCCTCTAGCTGAGTTTGCAAGTCTTTGTGTGGAAGAAGATGAAATGTTGTGCATCAAATACCACCCTTTTCAGGTTAGTAGAAGAAGCTCATTATTATTGAAATATTTAAATGTAAAAGACAGTCACTTGGATGGCCAACGTACATCAGTCATCACATGCCAGCCTGCTGCTCACAGTACATGATTACTATTCCTTACAGTCTACTATAATAATAGATAATAATAATAACGGGGTTCTTATATAGTGCATTAATTACATGGTCTCAATGCACTTCACAATCATGAGTAGAGGACTTTTTGGGCTGCGTATTTAGGCACTAGCAGCAGCCGTGCAGCTTACAATCATGAGTGATTTGTTAGTAAGTTAGTATTAATGCCTCCAGATTGGGATAGGCTGAACATTTAACAATTATTCACCAAAGGCAAAGTAAATATCATTAAATATTTACCAAACTGTGAGTATTTGAGCGGCAAAGTAAATATCCCCCATGTTCACTGACCCTTAGAAGAATTTATTATAATTTTAGACTTGAATATCAGAGAAAAACTTGACCACTTGACCAGTGAATATTGTCTCATAATCACTGGTTGCTCAACCAATTACAGGTCGCGAAACTCAATATTCAAGTTTAAAATTACCCTAAAGTAATATCTGTTCTTTAAATTGCAGGATCAAGTTGATAAAGAGCATTTGATCAAAGCACTGCATGAAGAGTTGGTCACTCTAGTCAATGATGTTGGTGTTGATCCTAATCGTATCTTGAATCACCAACACACTGTTGCTCTATTGCAGTTTGTCTGTGGATTAGGGCCCAGGAAAGCATCAACCCTCATAAAGGTAATTCAAACTTTGACTCTGGATAATAAATAGAGGGGAGGTAAGAGAACCATGGGGCTAGGATATAATATTATGTCTCTTGACACATTGATTAAAATCTCCTGTTCCTGCTCCTGTTAATAGTCTTTCTTCTGACTTACTACATACTGATTTGACCACAAGCTCTTTTATACAGGCTTAGCCCTGTTTGTTAGTCAACTATTCATATATGTTACCATTAAATGTCCGTGAGATTTGATAACATTGAAATTGTTCATTTTATGATTGATTTGCTTTCAAATGAGACTAAATCAGTTCATAGTTTGTGATCTATGCAGGGTTTATGTCTCTTGGAAATTAAGTATTTTCTTCAAGATGTGTTTTGTCAAACAAAATCCAGGCTCCAGGTGGATTTGAACCCAAGACTGCCAGTGTGCTTGTCAGTCACTCTAACCACTGAGAACACTGAGCTACTTCATGGAAGTCATGTAGTCACTCGACTAACCTCTTCACACTTGGTTGCACATAATGCCTTCAAAGTCCTATAGTATTTTCTTAATTATTAGCTAAACATTAATATTTCCACATACCTCATAGTCGAAATAAAGCGTTAATCTTGAATCCTAGTAAAATGTACTCATAGTGAAACCTTTTTTCCTTCAGGGTCTTCGCCAGCAAGGATCAAAGCTAGAGAACAGATCCCAGCTGGTAACTGTCTGCAACCTTGGCCCAAAGATATTCCTGAACTGTGCAGGATTCATTAAGATTGATACAACAGCTATCAGTGATACAAGTACAGACTATGTAGAAGTACTGGATGGTTCAAGGGTCCATCCTGAGACATACGAATGGGCCAAACAGATGGCTGTTGACGCTTTAGAATATGATGATGTGAGTTGAATGGTGATTTGGGGGGGGGGGGGGGGGGTAGGTTCCACATTCACTTCTTTCTTATTATTCCTTTAATACCTTTTGTTAATTAATGTTAGTTTTATCATTCCTCCCATCCCTCTCTGCCAACTTCTCTCCTTCCTTCCCTCCTTCCCTCCTTCCATCCATTCATTTTTCATTCATTTATTCAATGCACTATTAAAGCATTGGTCATTTATTAACATGCTTCCGTCAAGTTTTGGGTGCACATGGGAAGTTGCTAAGCACGAAGGAAGTGTAAGAGTTGCATGAAGAGTAGCCAAGTGCAACTCTAGCTTCTTGAGTGCTTAAGCAACCTACCTAGTGCACCCAAAACTCAATGGAAGCACGATAATCAATGACCAATGCTTTTATAACATTACCAAAGGCAAAAAAAATCTTTTTTTATCAAGAAAAATTCAAAACATTTTTAAACAAAATCTTGGTTACATAGCGTGCACTACTCAATCACATCAGTTTGTACCATCAATTTTGGATGTGTCTTCATGCACGCTAAATAACCAATTAGAGTGTGTGTTATGTCGTGGCTATGTTATAACATTTATTCAATCTTCAGATTAACCTCTATTGCATGCTTTAGAAAATCTGTGAGATGCTAAAAGTTTGTGATTTTTTAACATGTCCAAAATTCCAAAAATAATTTTCAATAATTTTAACAAAAATATTCTCTAGACAAACGAGGAAGCTAACCCCTCAGCAGCCCTAGAAGAGATTCTAGAAACGCCTGACAGACTTAAGGACTTGGACCTTGATGCTTTTGCCGAAGAACTAGAAAGACAGAACTACGGCAACAAGAAGATTACTCTATATGACATACGGGATGAACTGTTTGGTCGCTATAGAGACCGCCGCGTGCCRTTCCGATCCCTCTCTATTGAAGAAGTATTTAAACTACTTACTGGGGAGACTCCAGAAACTTTGTATGTTGGTAAACTAGTTGTGTGTACAGTGACGGGATTTGCCTTCAGGAAGCCACACAGAGATATGATTGACCAAGCAAATCCTGAGAGAAATGATGAGACAGGATTGTGGCAGTGCCCTTTCTGTTTGAATAATGATTATCCTGAGCTAAGTGAGGTGAGTATTCATTAACCCTCTTTTTCACACACAATATGATTGGTCTAAAAGTGCCATGATCTTGGCGTGACCGTGTCTGTGCCGTGTTTATGCCATGTTCCAGATATTTGATTGGATGGAGAGTAAATTCTCGTGCGATGTGATTTGTCTGGCGTTTCCCTTGCTGTGTCACGACCGTATTCATGCCGTGAGCTTTTCACAGTCATACGAAAACTGCACTATAGTATGGAGTGATTGAGTGGAGTGGTATGTTCAAAAGTCCAAGTTCATTGTTGTATACATTAAATACTGTAAACACTGAAAATAAATTTCATAGGAGCCTCTGGCTGCTTCCTTTGCCTATGAAAGGATTATTTTTTAAATTATGATTTATTATCAAATTCTTTACCTGTAGGTATGGACACATCTTGATAATGGTAGCTGCCCTGGTCAGGCAGTAGGGGTACGGACACGCCTAGAAAATGGTCTATCAGGGTTCATACCTACTAAGATGATTAGTGACAAACACATCAAGTCACCACAAGAAAGAGTTAAGGTAATGCAAAATTGATCATCATTTTTTTACCATAAACTAGAATTCACTTTTAGCACTATGATTTCCAAAAATTGCCTAAATTTTAGCAGATCTAATTTTCAAGACAAATTTATATCACTGGATTTCACTTGAGTGACCACAAAACAATGCCTCTAGGTTGAGGTTGTGGTTGCTGTCATCTTACTTTTGCCATATTATTTATCAAGTTGTCACTCATAAGCAAATGGGAAACGCGGGTGCCGCAGCAGTGAGAGCGCTAACCTCTCACCAATGCGACCCGGGTTTGAGCCCCTCTAAGCTCAGTGTTGAAGGTGAGTAGAGTTGCTCGTTGGTTCTCTCCTGTGCCTCAAGGGTTTTCCCGGTTCTTCGGCTTTCCTCCCTTTGTAAAAATCAAATTCTAAATTCCAATTGAAATCCAGTAAAAGAGCCAATAAGTGGGAATCCACTGTTAATTCCATTATTGCTTTATTTATTATTATTATTATTATTATTATTACTATTATTATTATTATTAATTCAGTAAAGGTCTGATCTATCGGTCAGTTTTTCACTGAACTGGCAGTATTGACCCATTTGTTTCCTTTATTCAGAACAAATGCTTTTACTGCAGGTATACCTAAGTTTTTAAGCTATTATTAAGTTTTGCTTTGACCATCCAATGTTTCGGCAGGTTGGTATGACTCTCCATTGTCGAGTGACTCGCATCAATATGGAACGATTCCAGTTGGATCTAACATGTAGAACATCAGATCTTTCAGATAAAGATTCCAAGTTCAGGTGCATTTTGTAACTTTAGTTATCATTTTAACTTTCGCATTTTATGTGCTGAGATCTCTACTTTGTTTTCCTCTGTTGCTCAGGGTGAGAAAACGAAGTTTCACCTTAATAGCATTTGACAGAGAAGAAATGATATGTAATAAACACTTAGTGGTATTAGTGATATCTTTTTTCTTAACTTAAGATATTGTTTTTTGTCTAGTCTTCCTAAGGATTTATATTACGACAAAGAATCTGAAGACAAGGACAAGAGAGAAGAAGAGATGGCAAAGAAAAAAGCTAATAGACCAAGTATAATAACAACTTTTAAAATCAACTTTTTCCTTAGAATTTTTTTCAAATTCTTCAGTTGTGTGCATAGAATGTTAAATGTAAGCAGAGGAACACTTTTTTGGGGGGGGAGGGGGGCTGGAGAATTTGCAGTAAGCCCTCCCCTCTTGCTCAGTAAGATATCAGTGATGGTACCTCAGTGACCCTCCTATTAAGTCCACGAGGAAAAACCTTTCATCAAAATTAAAAAGGTTTGACCCTCTACTAAAGTTCAAATCTTTACTAATGAACCTCCCCTCTGAAGCCCCAGCTCTCCCCCCCCCCCCCCCCCCCCCCCCCCCTACACACACAAAAAAAACGTAGTGCCTTCCCTAAATGTAATAAATCTGTGTGTATTAGACATATTGTTCATAATAGAGCTAAGTTGTCTAAATTTGGATTTTACCAGTAAGTGGGAGAATAGTGATTTCCAACCACAGATGATTATTCTAGATTAAGCACATTTACTATGGATGTTCTCTCTTCTTCTAGAATACATCAAGAGGGTCATTGTTCACCCGTCATTTCGCAATATCTCATTCAAAGAGGCCGAGAAGGTCTTGGCTGACATGGAACAGGGAGAGTGTATCGTCAGACCAAGTAGTAAGGTACAATGACGCTTCTATTATATACTAATATGGACATAATGTTTATAAACATTGGCGTCCTGGTACAATAGGTTTTGTATCACTTTGCTTTGCTGGATTGTCCAATAGATTTCTGGTTGGCAATTTAAAGAACAATCAACCAAAACAAATTTTGTCATGGCACACCTACGTATTTCATGGCCACGAAATCTGTTTAGTAAACAATGCGCTGTGCTAAAGATTTTTGTTGGGATAAAAAACTGAAAGTGATACCTATTACCCAGACCACAGCAGTGAGGGGCGAATCGAAATATGGTGACCAATTTGAATAACTGTTGGTTCTGCACTGACTAGCGACTGACTAGACTGGTGTTCATGTGGGAACACAAAAACGTTTTCATATGTATGAGAGCCTAGTCAGTACAGGATAATAGTCTTTCAAATTGGTCGCCATATTTTGATTTGTGAATAAGTGAAAGAAGATAAATAAAAATAGGAATCCAAAATCTGAAGCGAAAATAGTAACAATAATAAAATGATTCGTTTTAGGGGTCTGACCACTTGACGGTAACATGGAAGGTGGAACAAGGTATCTACCAGCATATTGATGTCAGAGAAGAAGGAAAAGAGAATGCCTTTAGTTTAGGCCGGTCACTATGGATTGAGAATGAGGTATGTATTATATAGCTGCATGGGCTGTAAAAAATAACGGCCCTCGCCTATTCAACGAGGTTCACCTCACATCAACAACACAAAACGCTCACATGTTGATTTTCTACGGAGGGTGGAAAACTGGAAAACCTAGAGAAAACCCTCAATGCCAAGGGACAGAACAACACATCAAACAAGCTCAGCTCGCATGTGATCCAGTCCGAGCCGTGGCTTGAACCTGGACCACAGCGGAAAGGGGCAAGAGGTAGACCACTACTCCACCCATGCCACCCCAAATTAGTTTTGCTTCAACGAAACAATTTTTTTTATCTTGCTAGGAATTTGAAGATCTAGATGAAATTATTGCTCGGCATATACAGCCTATGGCCAGCTTGGCACGTGAAGTGGTAACCCACAAATATCACCGTCCMGCAGATGGAGGATCCAAACCAAAGCTAGAAGAATTGCTTGTGGTGGAAAAGAAAAAGGCTCCCCAACGTATCCCATACTTCATCTCTCTCTCCAAAGCATACCCAGGAAAGTTTTTATTAGGTTACTTACCTCGGGTGAAGCCACGGACAGAAATGGTTAGCATCACTCCAGATGGTTTCAAGTATCGTAATCGAGTTCATAGTTCAATTAATGGTCTGTTTAGGTGGTTTAAGGAGCATTTTAGAGACCCTATACCAGGTATTAAACAAGATTACTATTTAATATGAAAGATAGATTTTATTTTATAATATATGCTGATGATTCATGATGATGATGATTCATGATGATGATAAATATTGATCTTTTCCCTTTCCCACTCTATTTTCAGGCGTATCTCCTCGTTCCCGCACCACACCCTCAGCCATGTCTGAGAGTAACACCCCCTACACCCCTGGTGCCACGCCCTTGACATCAGACATGGATGCCAACCAGCTTGTCCTACAATTGCAGCAGCATTTCCCAAGAGGAATAACTGCTGCCAACCAAAAAGTTTACTCTGGATCCCCAGCCGTCCCCAGGACAGAGCCAGCAAAGCAGACACAACCACCAACATTTGCCCAGTGGGGAGCAACATCGTCATCATCCAGTGCTCATCCCCCAGCTGGCTCAAGTGGTGCACAAGCAAATATTACACCTCAAGCTTACAGTTCATCTACACCCCAGTTTGGATACTATCAAACACACCAGGACTCTATCACTACTGCTGTTCAGAACTATGCTTATCAACAACAACAGAAGCAAAACTATAGAAGCTAACACAGTTATCAGGTTGTGCATAAATGACACTGGATTGTGTTGTTAGTTTTCTCTACAAGATAAAGTCAAAAACATTTGATATATTTGTGAGTCAGACAATACTCGCAATTCTCTGCACCAGAAACAAAAGACAAGTAATTAATACTTCTGGAGTGTCTTGCTTCATTGCACTACAGGGTGTCAATTAATGGTGTCACTGTTATAGTAAACTAGGCCTAGATCTTAGGTTTGTTTGATCAGGAAATGCAAACGTAAACATTCAGTTGGTCGTGCTTCTGAAGCATCATTTGATTTGTTCATTTGGAGCTATATAGCATCTATACTTGCTCATTACACAATATTATACAGGTCCAGTGGCCATGCCTTTATAAATGGCCATGCCTCCTCTAAAGAACAAGAAAACATTAGTTACAATCCACAAAGTGCTTGGGGCCCCCGATTGTCCATGCATTGAAGTTCCAGCACCATGATGGGGAAAAAATAGCAACAACAAAATATCATTTCCTTTCAAGAAGTCATTTGAAGAGGCATTTTAGCATATTGAATCGATAATGATGGATGATGATTAGTGCAACGGTCATTCACACCTCACACTACTTTTGAAACATGGATGAATAATCTACTTAAAGCACTGAAAATAGCAGCTTTTCCACAGTTGTAAAAATGGACATTTTTTTCTCAGTTTGCTTTACTTTCTTTATCACATAAAGGTCTGCTGCCAGATAGAGTGGGTTATTTTCCATTCTATGGTCAAAGCAATCTCTTACCCTAAGTCTTTCCAGCCAGGAGATTATAATGCTTAAAGTAACATTGAAAAGAGAGGGCCATGGGCTTTGTTTGCTCCTCTAAACCTTCCCTGGTGACAGGGCTGATATGCTAGCCCATCATTATTCTACCCACAAACAGTTAAATTTGTCCCACTCAAATAACATTATTTTACAAAAAAAAAAACACAAAAAATATTGTACATGTTGTATCATTCAAAGTTGTTAAAAGAAAAATCTTGTTTAAACAAGATCCAAAAATATGTGTACAGGTATATATAATAATTAAATATCTTTTTAAAGTGATAAAGTGCATGGAGTTATTCTTGTTTTAGTAATTTGTCCATGTTTTGGAAGGAAAGGGGTTACTTTTGAAAATACTAATTTTATTTCTGTTTTAGGGGTGCAGGACTTGCACAGTAACAGCACTTTGCTTTTTAAAGGTCCTGTGGCACGAGCCAATTTTTATTGCAACATGCAATGCTCTGTTTTCGTCAGCATTGCATTGCAAGTTGCCTTGTATAACAGGGCTTTAATTTCTAAAGTAAAAACTAATACAAACCACATAACGGTTATAATCTTTTTCATTCACAAATGGAGCATACATTTGTGTTTTCCTTCACGAATGGAGCATACATTTGTGTTAGGAGCCATACCAATAGCAACAGCTCTAGACAGTAGCTTTTCTTACAATTTTTTCTAGTCCTCTATTGCTCAATATTAGCCTCAATAGTCCCTTTCACAGCAGTTCCCTGCGCCATCTTGAAAGGTAGCCGTGCCTTTGCCTCGAAGCGAGACACTGAGCAAGAGAACATGAAACTGGATTATTGCCAATTGCCACAATCACTGCAGAAGCAAAGTTCTTTCTTTTTCAATAATTGAAGCAACAACAGCAAAGAACAACCACTGCTGAAATTTGCTTTACACTCAGATTCAAGTTGCAAGCTATCAGTACTCTATCATTATCATTTTAAATATCAACTCAAAGGATATGCAAAAAAACTTTATTACAATAAATAAAAAAGAAAACCTTGACAAGAATCTTGATAAAAGAAAGGAGAAATTAAATATTTTTGTACAGTACATCTTATGTACCAAAAATGAGATAAAATTTAAAAAATACGAAAAATACTATACATACATCTTAAAACACTTGATATAAAAATACACGGAGTAATATAATATAAAGGTATTCTGGAAGTGTTAGTTTATATAAAAATGTAAACAGCCTATTCCTTCAGTTTTCTTGCAGTTAACATCCATCTTTTTATTGTCCTTCCGTCTTAAGTTTCTGTGGTCTTGGATTCTCCAATATTGACCTTAAATAATCATCTATTACTCTCTGAACTGAAAAGAGTGATTTGTTAGTACATTAGTGTTACACCTCCAAATTGAGTACAATTGTCTTTTCTTTCATTAAGGTCCATTGTATAGTAAGGAATGCACATTCTTGGGAACAACACAAGTTGATTAAAAAATGCCATGGGTTTTGGTTGAATAGCTGAATATTATAACACACAACCGAGACTAAGGCTGGGCAAAGAGAACTCGAAACTGGAGTATTATGGAGGGCAATGTTTGCCCTTTGCTCATTAATAGCTTACCATTTTTGTTACCCATTCCAACTGCCAGACTGAAAGCAGTGTGACCTTCATYATTCGTAGCAGTCAGATCTGCACCATGTTCTGGTTCATAACAAAACAAAGATAACAATTAAGATCGTAAGCTAGCACACACTATTGTGATGTACTTTCCAATATGATCAGTTTCATCAGTAAATGTTAACAAACCTAAAAGAACCTTGACCATTTGTGGATATCCATTATAAGCAGCAAACATCAAAGGAGACCCTCCATCCTGAAAAATAAAGGACAGCTATTGGGTAATGCAAACACAATATACTGAATGATATAAAATACATGTCAAAGGCCTGTGCCAGTATGTGTTCTAATAACCATTCCACCTAACCCGCGAACATGCTCTCAGGGGATTAGGGCCCAGGGCCAGGGAGGAGTGAGCCTACAATGATGTTATATACACCCTACTAAAACCCTTTTTATTATATGGCCAGTCCAATTTTGACTTTATCAGGCATGATAAAGCAAAGTTTTTAAAGAGGGAGGGGGTAATTGCATTGCTACAATGTTGTAATTTTGAAATATTGGTGGCGCAGGGGGTTGATTAGGTTGCTAAGCCTATGTAGTCCCAGTCTAACTATCTGTTAGTCAAATATTATCAAAGGTGCATTCTGATTGGATGAGCCACTACTAGACTATACAGGGATGGCGGAGCAGTTTTTTGATTGGGGGGCTCAATAGTGACATTGTATGGCAAGGTGGGGGGGCTGAGTTGAGTGAAAATGTATTAAAATTTCACAAAAAGTGGGGGGGAGCTAGGTTCTGCCATCCCTGCTATAAGTTATATCCTACTATACATGTAGTAGCAAAAAATGCTGGCTTTGAAAACCAAAACATTAAATTTAACTCTAATTCGAAACTTGTTTGCATCTAAATATTTGACTGACACTAGCTAGTTGGATTTGACTAAAACAATATTAGTCCTCTCGCCCTCAAGGCCTTTATATGAATCAATAGCCCATTCTGGCTCAAGAGCTAATTGCTAAATAGTTTCCAGAAAATTTATTTACCAATGTGCAAACATTGGGGTCAGCGCCATATTCTAATAACTGTTCTACTACGTCCAATTGGCCCTGACATGTCCCAAATGCCAGGGCACTTTCACCACTGGGGCTACATATTGTTGCATCTGCACCATTCTGTAATAGCAGGGTAACTGTTGCTTTCTAAATTAAAACAAAAAGATGAAGTATAGGGATGAGTCGAGAACAGGGCCTTCAAAGATAATACACAGAAAATATTTTAAAAATCACATTTATTTGGATTTATTACCTGCATGTACCAGTACATGAATGGACTTCCTGAGAGAATGCAGTCATAAATCTAATGAATGGACAGTGAACTAGTGTGATTATAATATTATTATATTTTGCATACTTGTCTGTGAGCTGCTGCCCATGCAAGAGGTGTGAGTCCAGTCTTGTCTACGGCATTAATGTTGGCACCTGTATCGAATAGAAATGGCTGTAAATCACAGTACTGAATCAGACATTAGCAAATGGATCACCATAGTATCAGTAACTAATGATAGTTACTAAGGGGAGTTTACAAGAACATACATCATTGCCCATCACTCAAAAATGTTTTTTGAAATTTTGGCCATAGGCTTGTGCTGCACGATAGGACACAGGGTCCCCATCAAAGTACATCATAGTAATTTATCAACTCCCTTAAAATCTCCATACACATCTCACAGTCAGCCCATTAAGAAATCATAATGATCAGTAAAGGCCAGACACTGAGGGTGGTCACTGCCACTTACTAAAAATTTCATGTGAATTGTAAATACCTTTGTCAATCTCTTCTTTGATTTTAGCAGCCTCTCCCTGCGCTGCTAAGAAGTGGAGCGACGGATCTGGAACAAATTAAGGTAAGAACAAAATTAAGAAATTATGGAATAAAATATAAATCGTATGAATATATTCAACTGTAGATTAAATAAGGTATGAATTCTTACTTACATTGAGCAGCTGTGCTACCTCTGTTTGTAGAACAACTTTCTGTTTGTTCTTGTTCACTCTGAAAAAGATTTGCAATTAATAATGTGTTGTGGCTTAAATATCAAAATCAGCTCCAAGCTACAACAGTGTGCTGCGCAGACTAATCCTTTCTACCATAGGTAACCATACGGGAAAAAAACCTCCATTCCTGGCCCCCCTCCTGTTATAAATCTATTCTGCTGTGCCTCTGGCCTTGGAGCAAGTTTGCACTTGTGAAGGAAGGTTGAAATGCCTATTACTAGCAGGATTATTTTACATATTGTATAATTACTGATCTTATCAAAATCCATTGTTTTCAGTCTGCATTATCCCAACGAATGCATAGAGGAAAATCAGACATATTTAGTTCATTCATTATTGGCCTTGTTTCTATGATAAACWAGCTAGAAAGAAAACAATTGGATTTTGATAAGAACAATAATTATACTAGATAATCACTTCGGCACCCAGCATTCGTAGGTATAATGCAGGCAGCTGAGGGCKWMGCCCTCAGCTGCCTGCATCATACCTACGAATGCTGCGTGCCTCAGTAATTATCTATCAATTAACAATACCTTTGGAGTTAATAATGGTGTTTGTGGTGGCTTTAGTTGTGCAGCTTGAGAATTTTCTGCTTCTAATCCTGCAACATACTTTTTTTAGTCTAAGGTACAATTTATGAAAAAACAATCAATTTTTTAACTTTTTGCAAATAGAGCACTGAAAACAGTTTTCCAATACCCTTTCCCCCTGCCCATAATTATAAATAACGATATATTTTCATAAACAATATTCAGGAATTCATATTTATGGAATGTTTATGAAATTAAACTTACGTTTACTTCCAACTCCAAAATGAAATTTTTTTAAAATATTTTTTTACAATACTTTTCAATCCATTTGAGCGTACTTTAATTAATTCAATTAATTCAATATTTTCATTCGGCATTGAAAACCTTCAAAATACTTGGCTTCCAAATCAACCTAACCGGTACTAAATAGAAAACTCTTTTCTTTATTTAATATGGTAAACAATCCTACCTGTTTTGCTGGTAATGACGGGGAATGTGATTAAAAAATTCGTAATCATTAAGAAGTGATCTCAGCTATTTTATACTAACACATGTCGTGCTACAACACGTGTTCCTTAAACCAATGAATATCGCTGTAAAATTGATGGATTGATTGGATTACCTGAACATAGTACTGCTGCTACCTCTTGATCTGGCTCGATTTGCTTAGAATATTTAGATTCAGGGATATCTAAAGTCAAATATTGAGACCCTAGCAATACTGACATACTGCACATTTCAAAACAAAGACTGGCCGGTAAGGGACTGGGGAGAGGTATGGATGGAATGTGGTTGAGGGAATCGAAAAGGAGAGAGAGGGGGGTATCCTTATGCATTTAACAAATCTCTAAAACTGAAGCTGAATGCTTTGGTTATTTTTGAGCAAAAGAAAGAAAGAAAGAAAGRAAGGAAGGAAGAAAGAAAGAAAGAACTACGAATAAAGCTGTATACCATAGTAAAACGTCTTCTATCATTAAATCAAATTTAATATTGAAGAAATAGAAAACGGGCGCGTGTGCTGTGTGCTGTCACAAAGCACTTGGGGGTTGGCAGAACACGAGAGAAGTGTTAGGAGAAGCACGACGCATAGCGGAGTGCTTCTCGACACTTCTCGAGTGTTCTGCCAACCCCCAAGTGCTTTATGACTGCACCCAGCACAGCAAGCAAGTTTTTTATTTCTTTTATAAAATAAAAAAAATTACAATAATAGATAGGAATGACGCAACGGAAAGTGCGCGCGCGTGCAATGCGCTCTCATAAAGCACGCGCTCCAAACCAATCAGAACGTGACATTCATAACAGTTATTTTATAAATCGTTTTATCTCTACAGAGAAAAAGACAAAGTAAAATATTAGCCTCCAACTAAAGGTAAATTTACATGTAGTTTGATTTTATCTTCCTGCAACAAGCATCATGTGCTGTCAACCAGATCAGAAATGACGTCAAATGTAACCAAAGAAAGGTTGTATCATAAAAATATCGTGCAACATACGTGCGTGTGGGAGCTTGATTCAAACCACCACACCCCAAACCCCGGCCTCCCAATTAATTTCTCTTCCTTCCACTGTCTCCTCTACATCTTCGAATGTCGTCTGTGTCCCTTCACGGGTACAAGCGATTTTCGTAAACCAATATCATTGATAACGTGCCATTCTGGAGTACCATGTTGAATTTGATCGGCATTCCGTCCTGAGACATCATTACCTGGTTTTGTTGTCTGTTTAGAGGCAGGCTTTTGCTTCAGAAAAACATCTAAAGTCCCTGACTCACTTAATACTTCTGTCTCTTTCTTCGTGACATCCATTTTGAGTTTGCCGGCTGTCCCAGTAACACGAAATCCTGTTTCGAAATTCGATTTTTTGCTCCCTAGGACTTCGCCTTTCTTTCCCTCTTGTAAATGAAGACGATGGTTCTTTCTTTGACTTTTGAATCTCTGCGAATTTCGGTTAAATTTACTTTTAGAAGCAGCCAATTTTCCTGTTGAAACAAAGCTAGAGGACGTACGAGAACTCTTCACGGAATCACTTCTCGTTCGTGCCTTTTTATTCCCTTCTTTTCCGCTGTAAGTATTGTTAATTTTTTTAACCTTCTCTGGGATGAATGACTTTCTAAAGGACATCGTATTCCATCCGTTCACAACATGAACTATAGGTTTATCTGACTTGAGCACAGGATATTCAGCCATTCCTGGTTTCACGACGACTTGTACCGAATCCGCTTGAGCGGTGACTTTGGCTAAGTCTTTCGTCGCTGTAATCTTCAAATCTCCTGACTTATCTTCGACTTGGAAGTGAGCTTTCTGTCCATTTGTTCCTGCAGAGTGAATCTTTTTAACACCAAGAGAAAAAGCCACGACTAGGAATATAAACCAAGATTGCTTACAAAGAATCTTCATCTTCTCAATCTAGCTTGTGATATAGAACTCCTTTTTTCAAAGTCTATTAATGAAGCTTCATGAGAACATGTAGAAAAGAAAATATATTTCCTCTCAGCTTTTTGTTAATCCTATAACAATCTGAAATACTTGTTAAATATTAAAAGATGTCGTTTTCGTAACCAGAGGCTTAGACTGTCTCCACTGACCCAGAAGCAGCCACGCTTACGATCAATAACATTTAAAAAGACAAATAGGCGTGGTTCAGTTCAGATCGAAAGTTGCGAGCTTTTCTACTGACTGCAGATGCAGAATGTAATATCATCAGCTCTTATGATTAGAAAAGCTAATGAAGTTTTGTTTGATTTGTGTTTAAAATTGTTTGACCTGCTATCAGAACTGATGAAGAACTTAATACAGCTGGGGGTTCGCAGATACTCAGAAACCTCTCTACACGGTAGCGCCAGTGAATCTCGAAAAAAAGGAACCGACGTCTAGCACTCGCAGCTGGAATAAATCAATTCTTTATTACAGTAGAATTAGTCTAATCCAGCACTGCATTTATTTTATGATTTTTGCACTTTTTATGAATTTGAACATAAACCGAAAATGTGCTTTTATATTTAGAATATAACTTTCTACAGAAAATGTTCTTTTTAGTAAGAGAAAAAGTTATATGATGACGGAGAATTTCTGAAATTTCACACGGATGTTGTGAGTTTATATTCATCCCATCAACGGAAGACTCCAAAAATTTAAAGTTGACAATGTTTTGACCTAAAAATATATGTTTTTTTACTTTAAAAACTGAATATTTTGTCTAAAAATATAAAATGTAGTGTACATAATTCATGGCGCTCAAACAGAGCAGGTAAATTAATTGGTCGTGACTGCATGAGAATCATTGACTCTTGAAGTGTCGATACTTCAGAGAATTTTAAACTTAATAACGGAATATTTGAAGATGAACCAGCTAATTTTATTAGACTTTAAGTATTTTCTATTTACTCTGTTTATYTTTATAAACATTGCTAAAATTGGCTGTGTGCCACGGCCTCAGGAGCTGCAGAAACCACATTTCCAGGTAAGAAAATAGTTGGTTTTTTYCCCGACCAGCTGAGAGATATTTTCAATTTTACGATTACAAAGGAGTAGTTATTTTAAATCTATTTTTAATTTCATTATACAAAATGAACTCTAATCATATTTTAAGTTTGTAAGACAAATGTAGGACAAAGCCACAACTTTCTTTCACTGACTATAGCTTATCAAGGGAAAATATCGACCATTCTTTGTTGTTTTTTTTGCACTTAACTTCGAGTAGTTCGTTAACACATGCACTTGTTAATCCTTGTTAGATCTTGTTACGTTACGCAAATGTTTGATAACATTTCTCATCATCCCAAAAGTAACGAATAATCAAGGGTTAAGCCTTAAAAACCAAGCGTATATTCAACTATTAATTAAATATGTCGTTGGAAAAAAAATCATTATTGCAGGTAGAACACAAGRCAGGAATTCTCGATATTACAGCAACAAAAGACAAGGCGACAGTAGATGTCAAATCAGACACCATTCGCCTGGTGGTGAAGCCAGGGGACAGAGAAATGCCTGAAGCTGATATACCAGATACCAAAGTAATCAATGTAGCATCGAATGCCTATGCTCCCTCCTGGCAGAAAAAAGCTAAAATAATTAACTAATTAAACACAGCAATATTTTTATTTTTATTTTCTACTTTAGTTAAATCACAAATTTTAATTCAACTCCTGAGGTTTGGAATTAAACTCGGTGTCCAAAGTAACAAGCATAAATAATAGTATACCAATGCCTGTTGCCGTAAGACGTTGAAACCTAGAACTTTTTGATCGTTTTATGATAGCTCAGTACGTTACATGACAGTTGTAAATGCCTCGGTCTTCACACATCCTGCAGTACTGTGGACAAAATACAAAGTTAGTACACGTAGTCTTTGATTGATATACTTGCGCAAAAACGCGCAAAAAGCTACTCATAGGTTGTCGTGTATAATAGCTCTAGGCAGATACGAGAAGGGGAATAGATCTGCACTCATTTCTCGCACTCATATTGCAATAAGTCAAATCAGGACTGAATACACAGCTCGACTTTTCAGAGAGATATATATCGCTTATCTGCAAGTCATGGTGATTCCGAATGCTTCTTTGCACATTCTGCGAGCCGCAAGTCATTATCACCCCATTCGTGTAGCACTTAATTCCTCTTACATTCTTGGGGCATAGTTTCACGCTATTCAGTGTCAATGCGCACATCACACATAAAAGGTTTAGTGCGCAGATGACCCGCGCTACTCTCTGCCAGCAGGGTAACCGCGCGCTTAACATCAATATAATAAAGATTGCCATTATGCGCACTGAACAGCCGCCTTTATATGACCTGTATAAGATAGAATACAGGTTAGTCAACACAAGATTAAGCCTGGGTCTTGGGAAAACAACTTGACCATTGCTATATGGCATCGACTTCTTGTGAGGACTTTGGGTAAAGAATAGAATCTATACTGATGCCAGAAGTTCGACGACGCTCAGCGGAAAGAACTAAGATGGCGGTAGAGTTTAGATAACTTATGTGTAACTAAGTGCGAAGAGAAAAGCAAGTTGAGGTGAAGCAACCAAACGCGAGTTGTTACAAGTATGCTAGCCCAAACGTGACAAAACTTCAAGTTGCATTTTTTCATGATCAAGCAGTACTTTTTATACATCAAGTTGATTTTCATTACACCAAGACCCTTGTGTTCTATGTCTAGTCATTTGTTTCGCTTGTCTAGTCATTTGTTTTTGATATCAAGCGCAATGTTTAAGTTGACAAAAGCAGCCATCGCAATCAAAAGTCAAAAGGGAACGCTAGAAGCACTCAGGAGAAGATTGATTTCGATCAGCTTGCGATCGATGAACGCGCTWGGTCTGGAAGCTAGTTGCAGGGCRGGAGGAGGGAGGGCGTTGAAACGGGCATGGGCTCTACTCTGCCTATCAACAATGGCGGACCGTTTGTGGAGGAAGTKCGGCTGACAAGAAGATCTTTCAAAGGTAAATTTAGGCTTGTTTATCTTTGTTTTTAGCCAAGAAAACAATTTTATTGGTGTTAGAGAACACCCAAAACAYGATAAGAGTCAAATGTAGACTAGCGAATCGATAGCGAAGTTGACATACGTTGAACAAAAATGGAACGAAATGATCGGAAATTGTGACACTTCTCCAGAGAAAAATATACACACACTGTTCTTCAGCACATTCTTTTTCACTTTTGGACCGTTAAAGGTAAAACATCTAACAATCCTCAGGTCAATTTTATAGGAATAGAAGGTGAAATCATATAGAAGGTGTACATACTAATACTAAGCGCTTCGCTAGTCTACATTTGAGATGTTAAAAAACCAATCTTGCTCAAATTTGCTCAGTCTGATTTTTTTCACAAAAGTAGAACACTATATAAACATTTCAAAAAAATATAAACTAGGTTTTGGAAAACATTGTAATAAAACCAAAAATGCCCTGCGCCCGCATTTGCTATATAAAATCTAGCGTAAACACCATGAAAAATGGTGWTCCTCCACAAACGGTCCGCCATTGTTGATAGGCAGAGTAGTGCCCATGCCCGTTTCAACGCCCTCCCTCCTCCCGCCCTGCAACTAGCTTCCAGACCTAGCGCGTTCATCGATCGCAAGCTGATCGAAATCAATCTTCTCCTGAGTGCTTCTAGCGTTCCCTTTTGACTTTTGATTGCGATGGCTGCTTTTGTCAACTTAAACATTGCGCTTGATATCAAAAACRAATGACTAGACAAGCGAAACAAATGACTAGACATAGAACACAAGGGTCTTGGTGTAATGAAAATCAACTTGATGTATAAAAAGTACTGCTTGATCATGAAAAAATGCAACTTGAAGTTTTGTCACGTTTGGGCTAGCATATACAAGTGGAAGATAATTTGCTTGCGTTGACTTGCGCTTTTGTTTGAAAGGGGTTTTTCCAAGTGCGCATGCATGCATCGCTTGGCTCAGATCAGTTGAACATACCGTACTTTGCAGAGATCGTTCAAACATGGTATCATATCCATCCACGACGCTCTGTCCATGATGCGGTGCCCAACTACTGGTTGGTGATTGAAAACCACTTAAAGTCGATCTATGAAAACTTCCTGGAAATTGAGGGTAGCCATTAATGGTGTGCGGCGTTGTATGTAAATCTGATCCTAACAACTGACAGGTATTGCACTTATYACCACTTCTATGATCAAGTTCTTGTTGTCTAATTCTTGAAACAGTTTGGACATCACTATCATTAGTGGCGGCATTGTTTCGAAGCATGTTGTTTAAGGATATCTGAAATACTCCTTCATAGCCAAACGGTCTGTTTTTCATTTCTTGGGCCAAAGTGTTGCATTTGTCACACGTAGTTTTCGAATTATTGTAAGAAGGGTTGAAACCCGTAAACATGGTAGAGAAGTCTGGACCGTGACCAGGAAATGAACCATAAAGACATTGTTCCTGGAATGTGGATGCAGATAGTATCTCTTCAGAACTGGTGCTTCTGTCAACCTGTCGATCATACCACAAATGATGCGCATTTAGATTTCTATGACAAGACTGCGGTACATCAGATCTTTTAGCTATATATTGATAAACTGTTATATTTTCTAAAGTAACCAAGCTAAATAATCTGCTAAGGATGCATGATACTTCCTATACTTAGTTTGGTAATTTTAGGGRAAAAAAAACAAATTGCAAAGCAAAAGCGCGCACTTTTAAAAGTTTACTTCCTACGAAAAAAAACTTAGGAAGTTTCCTACGTTTTTAACTTTTGAAATCAGACAACATCGGACAAAATTATCATAAACTAAGGCGGAGAAAACTGTACTAAAGATGGTTAAAGACAGGACTGCAGTTTTATATAAGTTGTTGTTATATACCTGAACTGCGTGTTGTTTTCTCTTGGTACACTTTGATTGTCTTTGATTACGATAAGRGTGCCTATTTAAGCTTCTTTGGCGTCTTGTCCCATGACTAGCATGTCTAAGCGTCCATTTGCTCATTGTACTTCTAACTTTTTTGCTCCTAGATAAATYCTACATAGAAAATGGTCAAAGATTACTATTCTTCTTTAGCTTGAAAATAGACTGAATTYTTTCCCCCATCTATCTGTAAATAAATAAGAAAGTAAATCAAAAGGTCGTGAACTAAAATTCACGGTTTTGCAATGATATTTTCATTGTGATGTCATAATATAGTTAAAACTTAAAGGCAAGTTGCATGCGCACCACAGGGAGCCCACTAAATATAATTTATTGTTTGAAGGTAAATAGCAACATTATTACCTACCTCGTACCTGGCTATGTTGAATTTAGCAAAAGAAAAAGAAAGAAAGAAACAAAGCAACGCAGGATCGTGTAAAAGATTAAAATTTTGATGAAGATTTTTCTTTCCACTCATAACTTCATGGGATCCCTTTGGTTTTCCTATACCTTGTCAGCGGTTGATCTCTGAGCGCGAATTTTTGTTTTCAAAATGGCGGATGAAGTTGTTTTTGTTGTTAGGTGAATTAGTTTTGAATTTTAGGACAATCATTTGATAAAATGATGCTGCAATGACTGCAGAAATTATCTGCAATGTTCCATTTTTTATTCTGTTGTGCTTGGCAGGGATTTCTTCATCGGGTAAGTTTGGTACAAACGAATAAAAAGTAAGAGTTTGGTTTGTACTATTAAAACATTGTTATTTTTACGAGAACTTCCTTGCTTGCTTTTCATCGTTTTTATGTAAGCTTATTGTTTTTCATCRTTAATATGTTTCTATTTGAGCTTGTTTTAACCTCGTTTTTCACTGTATCTAATCGTAAAACTAACCTCCTCCTTCTTTATTTATTTCTTCTTTGACAGCTTTCGTAGACGTGAACCATACGTCTTCTCATCCTAAAGGATTGATTGTCGTTCCTGAGAACTTACGCACGAGTACATTAAATGTTACTTTTAATGAGACTGTTGAGAATGATAATGTAAGTCAATGATTTGCAAATATATTCCATGGATACCTCTCCTATGGAGATATAAATATGCATTCAACCCTCCCCTCCCCACTTAAAATAATAATAATAATCTGTAATTTACCCTTATTGAACTATCCACAACCCTTTGGATTTCAAATTTTCCACTAGGGTAGAGGTGTATGGGGTACCATTTTTTACTGAATTACCATTTATAGACAATAAGTATGTCTTTCTCACATACTATTTATTTATTAATTATTCAGATATTATTCATTTTTTAGGTTCTTGTTGTGTGCAATATACTGGAATCTGGCAATGGGCTCACAAATATTGTACTTCAAAACACAACTGCATTGATTGGGCAAACAGAAGCTGTTATCCCATTCAGGTTAGCAGACTAAATATCGTAGAACAATATGAAATAAAAATGTATGGATGGAACAAAGGAAAGAAGGAAAAAGAGAAAACAAAATGAAAAGTAGAGAAGGAAAGGGATATTACTCCCACGCCTCAAAGTGTTAATAAAATAATGTTTTACCACTATATGTGCTGATTGYACCTAAATATACAGCGATGAAAGGAGTACCAATTGTCAACTTTATTGTGTCATATAGCAATGAAATATGAGTGTGATCGTTTTTGTTTCAGCATATTATCACCTGGCCAACCAGTCACTGTGGAGTGTTCGGCACAAAGTGAAGGGAATTCTACACAGTTTATTTTTTCAACATCTAAAGGAAAACCGGGGTAAAGATTCTTCTCTTTCAATAGATTGTACATCAGGTTATTTGTTCCAAAATGTTTCAGCAATTAAAATATCATGTAAACTGAATAGTTGCAAGTTGCTCTTGGAATTAGATTTTTTACTGCCGCTAGTCAAAATTATGAAAGGTACCTATTTTTGATTGATGGAAGGGAAAAACCCACAAATTTGAGCTTGCAGCTCATGTAATTTTATTTAAAAAAACCAGTCTAATTATCACACATGTAATATCAGGTAACTGCACACTGTTAAAAAGTATGGTAGTTTTGGTGGGAAGGTACCCAAGGCATCAGTAATGCTTCGGTTGACATCCAAGTATTTGACATGACAAAAGTTATCCCTTCACAATATTGAATGCAAGTGTAATAAGTTATTTGTGAATGTATAGGATTAATAGATACCCTTTGTAAGTAATTATTTGTGCATTTAATTATTCTATTTTGAATGCATTTTTTGCAGATATTTACAAGTAACCAAGGCACCTATTGTGACAATTTGTAGTGATCCTGTGCTTGTAGCTACTGATCGTACATGTCAAACTGTACAGGTGGAACTAAGGTATATAGATGTGGATAAAAAATCAATATATAACTTTACTGAGTAATCTTACCTCATTCATCACACACAGCCCATTATTACTGACATTTCAATTATCATCTACRTTACTCTACTTTACGGTGTTCAACTTTCCCTTTCAAAACAATATCTCCCTGTAAACCCCACATGAACTTTTGCCATGCATTTCATTATCCTGCTGTGTTTTCCAGTGTAGTTAGGCCCTTGTAGTGTAGTGGTTAACACATCAGACTAGAATGTCGAATAGACCCATTGCAGTACGTCGGAATGCAGCTCAATTTGGAGGACACAACAATAGATTTCCATTTCTGAGAAGATCGAAATTCTTTTATTTTTCTCCTCCAAATTGACCTGCTTTGATGTCACATGCAAGGAGTCTATATTGGGTTTAAATCCTACCAAGGGTATATGATATTTTTATCTTGATGTTTATTCCATTCATCACGCCAAGCGCAGCCCATTTCCACTGACATAGAATATAATAATAGAATATAATGCCTTTTTTATTTTTTATTTTTTAGTGAGGCAGTCAGTGGGCAGTTTCCAGCTGTAGTTAACTGCTCTGTCATTGGTACTAATGGTGGACCACAATTCAGATTTGAACCCACCGTCATTGATGTGGGACAAAGAGTTGCTCAGGTGAGACATATTTTAGCTGTATATTCAGGTGTCATAC